ATTTCGATGCCTCAGTGTGGCGACTCATGAACTCATGACAGAATCAAGACAGCGTTGATCTGTTTCTTTTGGACGAGCATTTGATATTATTCATTTGTCAATATGTCAATATATAAGAAAAGTAATAAATTCTAGACCCCCGCATTGTTCCCCGGCTTTCTCGGAGCATTAACCTAAATGTGTTTAGATCGCTCCGGGCTTGGACATTGCCCTAAAACATATTTGGCACCCTTTTCATATTTAGCGGGGATTTAGCGGGGGTTAGCGGGAATTGATTTGACCAGTTCGGCTTTTCCCTCCGTAGAAAACCTTTGAATACGGGGGGACTCCTTGCATCCAGGGTCCCCTTGGCACGCTATCTTGCTGCTAGTCTCACTGTCCACCAATGAGGATCCTGCTCATTCAATAATATAGTGCAACGGTACTCCATATGAGTATCTCTTGAGTCCCCCAAATCTCGCATAGAATTTAGGAAACGTCCTGGTAGGACAGATGCACCCGTCCCGACGCATCCCGCTTATTAGAATTGTTATTCTTGGTACTTCAGCCCACCTCGGCTTTCTTTTTCTTTCATGTGGTGATGCTTAGACACTCTTAACTTGAAACATTATACACATGTTAATCGCATCCGCCCCGGAATCTGGAGTTCCCCAGATGCTAAAATGATGCCTAGACTTATATTCTCCATAGATAAATACCATAGAGAACAAAAGTAACGGGAAATGAGAGGAAGGGTCTACTCTTACCTAGGTACTTTGCATTATATTTCCCCTTTCTTTTTCGGATGGCGTTTGGTGGCTTTTCCTTGCTGTATAACATGTGATGCTAGAATACACCTGGTCCTTCATTTTAGTCAAAATATTTTGAGTGGATTTCTGATATAAAGTACCGACTACTACCCTCTCTTAGAGCCTGTATCACTTTCGTTTTCTTTTCTTTTCTTCGAAGCTCTTCTCTTTTTGTGTTTGTTCGACTCGGTATGTACATATATGTACACGGCCTAGAACCCACTTACAGTCCCTAATACAAATCACAGTAACAAGATGTCGACCACAAAGCCCTCATTCGTCGAAGAGGAATCCGTAGTCCCGACACCAACCAAGAAGAGCTTCGGTGCGCGCCTCGCCGCCCATTTCAAGAAATGGTGGTGGGTGCATTTGATTATATTCATCGCCTGTTTCCTAATTATCCTACTGCCGGTGTAAGTCCGCCCTTCCCAATATTTTAACCCTGCCCACGGCCGCCACACGGTCCAGAAAGAAACATCCCTCTCACCCTGCATCGTCTAGTGTCTACGTCGCGTATCCCAAGATCGCACAAGATGCAGTCAACGACTCGACCCTCGACATCACGGAGATGATCCTCAGCGACCCGACGCCCGAATCCTTCCACCTCGAGCAGAGACAAGTCCTCGGCTCGGATAGCCCTTATCACCCCCAGATCTATGCTTTCAATTCCGCGGTCTCGTTGGCGGGAGCGCCGGATCCTTTCGCTTATGTTAATGTCCCGGCCGTGAAGTCGAAGGATGGGGCGGAGATCCACTTCGAGCAGAAGGTTGATCTGACGGATGCCTCTGCGTTCGGGGATTATACTACCGCTGTTATGTTGAATGAGGAGGTTTCGTTGAATATCCATGGAAGGCCTGATTTGAAACAGGGTGGTCTACCCAAGGTTACGGTTGATTATAACAAGACCGTTGTTATGAAGGGTATGTTCCTCTTCCTGGTTTCTTGACTCCATCAGTCTATTAGAAGAGCTTGATGCACTAACTTGACGAACAGGCCTGAACAAACTCAAGGGTTTCAGAGTGGCCGAGTTCTTCATCATGTTCCCACCAGTGAACGGCTACGGGATGAACGGCACAGTCGTTATCCCCAATGCCTCAGTCATGACCATTCCAATGGTAATTACTCCTGTACATATCAATCCTCATATATCCACGGTACTAACACAAGGAATAGGGCAATGTAACCCTAGCCCTCGAGCTAGACGGAAAACCAGTGGGAACAACCTACCTGAACAACCTAGTCCTCAAACCAGGCGACAACACTGTACCAATGATGGGCAAAGTCGACCAAGGCGCCATCATCACCCTGCTTACATCAAAGTCCAACCCCTACAAAGATGGCATCCTGCCCTTCGACATCATCGGAAACGCGACTTCGTACAACGGCAAGGAACTTCCGTACTTCACCAAGGCGCTGGCTGCGAACAAACTGTCTGTCAAGTTGAATGTTCTGGCTGCGCTCAAGGCGGCCGGGGTTAATCTTACCTTGTAGTTGGTTCGTGTGTGGGTGTTGTATACCATTTCTTTTTATGTTTATGGTTTATGTTGACGTTCTACTTTCTATGTTTTTTACCATGACCGGTGGTGGGATTCGATGATTTGTATGTACTGCTTTGGTGGTCTGGTGACTTTGTGTCTATTTAATACCCTTCTTTTATCAGTATGCGCAATGGATATAATTTCCAGTATCTTTGGGTTGTTTCTACCAGCTATAACTGCGCCTTTGGAAATGAATAATCCAATAACACTCATTGACAGTCAAGGAGAGAATAAGAATGGCCAAGAAGAAGAAAAAAGGAACGTGGCTCAAGGGCGAACTAGTCCAGGCGTAGAGCAGCGTGCACGCTGTCCGCCCGTTGGGTAGAAAATCCAAAGTACATCCCTCCTCTTCGGCTAGGAAGGCAAGGCCATTCGACTGGGTTGTTGCGCTTTGTCTCAGTATGCTCAGATGCACGATATTTGTGGAAAACCATCTGAACACGCTGAGACAAGCGCAACAACCCAGTCGAATGGCCTTGCCCCCCTGGCCGAAGAGGGGGGATGTACTTTGGAATTTATCTTGACGCAATTGAAACCTTCTGCAAGTGGACAGGGCCATTCGATTAGGTTGTCGTTGTGTACCTGCCTAGCATGTGTCCTCGCAATCCGTGCCGAGGAAAACATCATGGAGCATATAAGCTCCTCTGCGCGTGGGCCCGTGCGGCCATCTCACTCCGTCGGGACGCTCTCAGCATCTTGTTACATTCGAACTCCTCTAGGCGTAGGCAGGGAAACCCTTCCCGAGTTCCCATATCTGTATGAGTCTTTGCGTGTGTTTTTTCGCATTTCCTTCGACAGAAAATACCAAAGTGCAGCCACGCTCCCGGGGCATAGGGAGCGGTGCTTGCCTTGCCCGTTGGGTTCCGCGAGGATTGAGAGATTTGTAGTGAAGGTTCTCCTAGGGCATTCAAGTAGCTGTTGACATACACTCTGTTCGTTTTCTATGGTAATTAAATCATGTTAGTTAATTTGAGTAGGCCACTAAGAATATGCTATACTAACAGGATCGCATCTCGTTGATGACGTTCCACTTAGGCTGGTGCGACCTGACATCAGTGATTAAGCGATGGAGTTCAGGGGTGCCCTCTCGTACATTTTTGGTCCAGAATCCATGAGTTCTCGGCGCTTTAGACTAGGAAGTAGACATGGACTTTTGGCACGTCCGTTGCACCGTCGACTTGATCACAGACACACCGGTCGCTTTCATGGATGGAATAAAGTATGTAAAAGTTCTGACCAATATCAAACACAGACCCGGACAATCTCTGGAGTACAACAGCTTTGATAATGGGACAGATTGAGTCCCCAAGCTTGTCGGAGTTCACGCGAAGACTCGATTTTGAACTAGAAAGGCTACTATGCGGCGCATCTGTAAAGTAACGCATAGTGAATGGGAAACGGTAGCCAACGGAAAGGTCGAAGAAACGAGGATGTTTCGCAGCTCAAGCTTGCAAGAAAAGAAAACGTGGACCTTGCTGCTGGCCCTAGCGTCTTGATTTGGCCTATCTGGTAGTCCTTGGAAGGATGGTAATTATAATCATTTGTCTGATTCAACGGTCATTATAGAGGGCGGCAGCGTTGCCTATACACCTGTGCTATAGGTCGTCTATCAATTAGCATCCATTCCTTGACCGATGTAGTTTTAGTGATAGAGCCTACCAAGTCAGTGGCAGGGGTGGAGGATTGTTACCATCTTTGAACTCCAGCAGGAACAGAGAGGAGCTCGAGGGTTCCGCTACACGGCAGTGTCACAATTACTTTTCCAAGCACACGAAAGCACTTGGCCGTGGAAGCTGGGAAGCCCGTATGTGTGGGATATAGCATGAGGAATACCGGAGTGGAAAAGATGTGGTAGATGAAGAAATAAGGACCCAGGGAGATGGTATTTATATGGCAAGGGCTGGAAACCAGGCAAACGTGAGATCACCTATTGTCTTTCACATCGATGTGAAACACTGGATCATGTAGTTATCCCCGAAAATTCAAGAATGTATTCTATCGTAGCCTGCATATTCAGGGCAGCGCTAAATAGTACAGTGTCTTATAGTGCCAGGAACACGGAAAGCCGCAGTACTTATCTTCTCAACATTATACGCTGTACGTATGTACGCCCTGGATGCAGTACTAGCATGAATTGACCTAGATAATGATGTCCAAATAGGCGCATTATAGTATTGTATGTCAGGAGAGTGCTTTTGTAGGGAGAATTAGCTGGCGGACACTGACTTCCTTTGTCTTGTCTTTCCCCTGTATTTCCTCTACCCCTTCGCTCAACCGCCCTCAGAACTGAACCAAAAAGTCCTCATTCATATTGATTTTGCCGTACAAAACCTCATATCTGCATCCTCTCATGTCCGCGCTGTCTTCGGAGCCCACCCCGCCATTCTCAACGACCTTTATACTAGGCCCTATTACCAGTTTCCCCGAGATACGAAGGCTGCTACGAATCAGCCTTATCTATACCTCTTATTACCCCGATCCATACCTCTCATTACACACCCACTATGAACAACCATGCGAGGGCACGCCAAACCTTGATTTTCTAGCTAGCGCCTAGGGATTCCACTGCATTATTTCCCACGGGAATTCTTGCCCCGGGCGCCAGGTCCATTGCCAAATACTTCGAAAGCCAAGAATCTGATATAGCGGCACTCTGCTGGGGTGGCAGATAATCGTACCGGCAAGCTTTAACAACCGCAACTCCTTGGATATCATCATGAGTCGCTCTGCGTATTAACATTGAGGCAAACGCTCTATGAAATACATAATCAGAGGGAAGTGAATTTATGTCCTAGCTTAATTCCAGAAGGAGTCACTAAGAATGCTAACCTCTCGGGAGGAAGGGTGAACGCCATTCCTATGCAGTGGGGTGAAACATTCCTTATTGATGTGGCGGACTTTTTTAAAATATAAATAATTCGCCATCCTTTTCTCCTCGTAGCCTTATAGCCAAACCTTCTCGAAATGCCTGAATATTTATAATGACTACGCCATACGTGCTTCCTGTCAACACTCTAGTACTTGTTACAGGCGCCAATGGCTTTATAGCGTCTCATACTGTTGACCAGTTGCTTAAAAAAGGCTTCAAAGTCCGGGGCACAGTTCGTGCTCCTAAGCCTTGGCTCAATGCCTTTTTCGATGAGAAGTATGGGGAAGGACGCTTCGAAACAGTGACTGTCAAAAACATCGGGGATGTCCAAGAACTGGAAAATGCAATGCAGGGAGTTGGAGGTGTCATCCACATGGTCAGTTCTATACACAACCATCCACGAAGGAGACAATAATTCAAAGCTTTCTAATTACATGTGTCGATAGGCAACTGATTTGACTTTCAGTTCGGACCCTCATGCCGTCATTCCCTGGGTGACCGATGCTGTGCGCAAGGTCCTTGAGGCTGCATCTCGGACTAAAACTGCCCAAAGGGTTGTTCTCACTTCCTCGTCACGAGCTGCCTATATGTCTTCGCGCGGTAGCACCAAGGGTGTTCGTGTAGACGGTAGTAAGTATCTCTCGCCTGGCAAGATAGACAGGCTGACACCTTTTCAGGTTCTTGGAACGAAGCATCCATCGAAGCAGCATGGGATCCAATGACTCCGGAGGACGCCAAACCTTTTGCTGTGTATTCTGCGTCTAAAACAGAATGCGAGAAAGCCGCCTGGGCATGGATGAGAGACAATCAACCACATTTTGAATTCAACACTGTGCTTCCCGACTTTAATGTGAGAATTTCCAATTGTGGTAAAGACCACAACTTTGCTGACCGAAACGCTTTGCATGATTTAAGACTGGAAGGATTCTTCATCCGGAGATTGCTGGCTCGACCATGGGCTATGTACGCACGCTTCTGAAAGGAGATCCTAGCGTGTTCGACCGTTTGCCTCCTCGTAAGATTCCATTCTCTCTTTCTCTGTCCTCTCTCCTCAGCCTCTGTGGAAATTCTCTAATATGTCGGTCCCCTGCAGAGTGGTATGTTGATGTCGAGGACACCGCTCGTCTCCATGTCATCGCGCTACTCAGCCACGATGTGAAGTCTCGAAGGCTCTTTGCCTTTGCAGCATCAAAGAATTGGACAGACTATGTACAAACCCTTCGCAAATTGCGACCTAACAAAGACTTGATCCCAGAACCTCCTGCGAATGAAAGGCACGATGAAGCAGATATCGTTCTGGCTCATCAATCCGAGACTTTGCTCAAAGATTTCTTCGGCAGGCAAGGTTGGACTCCACTTGATGAAAGTCTCGCAGCTGGTATAGAAGGGTTGGATTAGAAGTGCGATGAAGACCTTTTGTTATGTGTCGGAAACGAGGGGATCAGCCAGCATATTTTAGTACCCGAGTCCATTACCCAAGATGCCAAGGTATCCCGTAAGCGCAAGTATTCATGACTACCGAGGTGATCTTAGATCTCTAATATCAACTACGCACTAGGGGACAAGAGCGGGGAAGCAAAGATGCCAACAGTGGAGGAGTGAGATGATATCACAAGACAGCCTGAAGTTGGTTATTAAAGAACGACAAGGGCTAGATCTAGCCAAGCATCTTCGCTTCTTTGAGCTTTCTCACAACATGTTCCTCATTAGCTGAATTCACAAGGATTCCATCCGCAGCCGCCAGGAATCCACCTTCTGCCTTGTTAACCTCGCGATATTTTCCCTCCCAGCTGTATATAACTTCCCCATGACGCTGCTGGTCGCTAAAAAGAAGCGCCACACTCCGAGCTACAGCCTCCGGTCCCTGAACGCCAACACCAAGCCCCTCAATAAAAGCAGTATCAATCATGCAAGTTGCTGTCCAAGAAGGCGCAACAGCATTAAGTCGAACCTTCCTCTCAAGTTGATACCCTATCCCGTGGATGATCCCGAGAACACCATGTTTTGCAACCGTGTAATCACCAGCACTGAAGTTCTGGAACGAAGCCGTAGAAGCGTTGACCACGATACTGCCCAGTTCACCGGATGCACGATGTGCCGAGTTCTTCTGGATATAATACGCGGCAAGACGGACTGTGGAGATAACACCCACAAGATTGACATTGATCGTTCGTAGATCAGGAGGGGCAAGGTGGCCATTTTCGTCAAGGCTGTCGTCCAAGAAATCAGTCGTTGGCCCGACGCCTGCATTGGCGAAGACATGGTCAATACGACCGAACCATTCTTCGATCTTGATAAATGCATCACGTTGACTGTCCCATGAACAGACATCTAGTTTTATAAACTTAAGCTTATCTGAGATGACGAGGTCAGAGGGTAAAGAGCTCAGGTCGCCGATGATTACATTCGCGCCGTGCTTGAGACATAACTCTGCTGTTGCTTTTCCGATTCCTGACGCGCCGCCTGGTTTTATCAACATTTCTGATTTGTTTACGATGGTAGAAGGAAATATGCGTACCAGTAATGAGGACTACCTTATCCTTCATTCCCTCGAAGATCGTGTCGGAAATTTGTACGGCCATGGTTGAAGATGGGTGTTGGAAAGGGCGAGTATTATATCTGGAGTTTGCGGGGTTTATATGTTGGCTATTTTGATAAGCCGAGGTTGTTGGAGTACAAATGAACAGCACCCAACACACCTACCCAACACCCGGTAGGTATGTTGGGCGCTTCGGACAGTATGAGATGGATCCGTGCAAAGATGATCCTGGGAGGTATTTGAAGTAAATCGTACCTAGGTAAAGCTGTCCAGTTTCTTCCTTGGAATCGAAGGGTTTAAGAGGAATATATGCGGTCTGATTACTTTAAAATCCTATGCCTAACATGGGTCTCATTCGGGCTTTATAGACTTTAGACAGATAATTCTCTCTCCATAGCCCAAAGGACAAAACCTTTGTTGTAACCCCAGGTAAAAGGAGGACAATATTGTTCCCCTACGATGCGGAACCCCCTTTTCAGCCAATAAGAACCCTGGACCTCGCGAATAGATCTGAGCATAATGGACGAGCGAGCAGGAGACATTCTACTCTTCAGTTCCTCTTGACACGCCTCGACCAAGCTTGCCGCAATGCCTTTCTTCCTATATCGAGGGTCCGGCGTGATGGCGACAGCTACAATTTCGAAACCGCCATCGCAGGACGCATTTTGAGATTCATCATCAAGACTATCCAGCACCGTAGAGCTCGCGGAGAAGATCTCATCCGCGCTGAATTGTTCAAAATGGCCCGGTAACTTCCAGGCGTCGCCTTCGGAATCTGGTGACCAGATTTTCAAGCTTGCAGTACCGATGATCGCATTTTGAGCGAATGCAATTGTAGTGAAGCCAGTTTCCTGGAGTTCATCGGCAAGCTGGGTGTCGCTTTGGAGCCGGGGTCCGTTCTTTTCGAAATGACTGAGACCGGTATCATAGTAGCTGGCATTGATGACGTCCCGGAGCTCCTGCAGGAAGGGCTGCTTAAGAAGATCGCTTCGTGTGAAGATCTCTATTCTGTAGGAGGGTGTAGCTGGTGAAGATTTGATGGTTTTTATAACCTCTGGGGTCTCTATTGTGTCTTCCACAGTGGTAGTAGACATTTTGAGGGCGAAATGAAGACACCAAGAAAACAGATTGTGGCAAAGGATTTAAGCGATATTGTAGTTCTGTCACTCCAATAACGAAACTTGTCAAACGAAGGGCGTGATAGACGAGGCGTAACTCAAGGCAAGCTAGCGCCAATTACCCCGATAGCAATGCCCCACATCTCAGAATAAGCAAAGCCAAGAGTAAAAGCCGAAATAGGAAATTCTCGTATTCTGAAACTTCATCAGCCAGAAGAATAACCAATCATTGGCCAGTACCAAGAGAGCAAATAGTCCCTAGATTCCCAGTGCATAGGTGCCCACCACTTTTCATGAAGAACAGCATACGTCTTGATATCCTCCGGCCATGGCCACTGAATATTCCACCAGAAGTCCACCGCAGTCCACGGGGTAGGGCCTCCACGAGAAAGAGCAACGTTTAAGACGCTCTGGTCACCTATGCTGGTATCAAAGCTATCCTCGACTGCCAGCAACGCCTCGAAGTAGTGAAACATCTCAAGTGACGGCTGCAAGATCATAAAACCAGCATTCAGGTTATCCCAGTGCCAGAAGTCCTCTGGAACACGGGACGGGTGGGATGAGTGATTTGGCCTGAGCTGCGGCAAGCCAGCAGCAATATAAGTCTCTGGCAGGCGTATTTCAGTCCCGTTGAGGGATAATAAGGTTTGTTTGGTTGTTGCAAGCCAAGTCGCTGCGGAGCTGAGAAGCCCGTCGATACATCTCGTCAGAACGGAATCACCATCCAAATACACAATCAGGTCGTACTGGACCATCTCCCAGAGCCGGAGTTTTGTCAAAATATCGACCCATCGGGAATCCTTCGGTCGAACCCAGTCCACTCGGAAATCGGACCACTCGATTACTTGTGCACCGTCGGATTGCAGACGGTTTCTCTTCTCTTGATCGACATTCTCATGAACGAAGACCACGAACGGGATGTCCAAACCGGTGCGTGTTTCCGGTGCGTGAAGGAGCTGGTATGTGAGGATTCGAGCCGCGTCGAAATATGGATCGCTGGTATTGTGAAATTCGGAGATCCAATAGGTTTTGTTTTCGGTTGGCGCGCTCAAATACGTCGCGTAGATTATTCGTTGATTTCCGATTGCTTCTGGCCATTCATTTTGAGGAAAGTAGATATTCCATAACCACGGCAGGAACAGTGGAAAGCCACCGAAAAGCCCAATGGAGCTCACCAAGTGCTTCATTCTCATCAAGGTCGGGAATATTAAGTGGCGATACTGGTCACGGGCACATGTTCATATAAATCGGACTGGAGGATACTTTTCCTTCCCTTGTCATCTGCAATTTGTCGCATCTCGAAGTAAATGGTCTAAATAGACCACCTGATATAGTACTCAAGGTGAACACTACTGTCTGCACATGTGCAATAATAGCAACAGGGGGAAAGCATGCGAGCTTCTCTCATTGTTTTCCGTGCACATCCCAGTACAGCTCGTATCTCAGTTCCCGTCTGGATTTTTCTGGACAGATAGCCAATAATGCCTAGTCAATCAAAGGTCGGCGAAGTGATGGTTCTGGCTTATTTCCTGGATACTCCGTTAATTCGAGGCTGACTGTTCTTTTGCAAGGCCAATCCTAGTAATATAAGAATATAAGGGTCCCCGGTTCGTCGCTGAATGCAGAATATCAATAACGACCAATACATCCAGTTGCGCTCATGACTGCACACCGAAGGATCGATCCAATATAAATCAAGCACTAAAATCCGGGATGTCTCCGATGCTCTTTCTGTCTCTTTCCTGGTTTATATATACATTTCTCTGGCCCACATCTCGAGGTCTTCAACATGGCGATGGATGATTATGACCAGCATAACAGATACCATGTCAATTTCCAAGATACTCACTCTTCGGAGAAACATACCAAGAGGTTCTTTGAGCGTCTAAGTTATAACTGGGGAATCTTCCCTCTAACAGGTACCATCTGTTTCATTGGTACGCCTCCACCATGAACGCATTGCACAAGATATGTACCTAAACAGTGTAGTTTTATACCGCATAAGTACTTGGACTGGCTTATACAACATGGTTGTTGAGCCAGGTGTGCTCTGGACTCCCGACTGCACCATTCTAGCCATTGTCTACGCTCCGTTTCTGCTAGGCCAGCTTCCACCATACTCGATACTATGGGGTTTGTGTCTACCAATGCGGCCTTTCGCATATAGAAAGTCTCCCAAGGGGCGTTATTTCCGCGGACTCAAAGTCTGCTTGGTTACAAAGGGCACAAATATGCAAGTAAGCTGCCACACCTCTCCCCTTAAACCCCTTTCTTGCTCAAAACTCATGCATTAGTGGTAGACTGTGCTTAATTCCATCAAGCCGTGGGAAAATTGCAGACAATATCCGAACATCACTTTCCACGTGGTGTTAGATTCCGCCGAAGATGGTCTCCAGGCCGAACTTCCTGATTTTGTCAACCTGGTGAGTGTACCAGCCTCATTTCAACCAGCCAATGCCAAATACAAAGGACGAGCGTTGGAATGGTGTCGACTGTACTGGAAGCTATCCGAGCTTGATTGGGTACTTCATCTGGATGAAGAAACCGAGATCGATGAATACCTGGTGAAAGCGTGCTTTGACTTCATTGAGCGAGGAACGGAGGATATCGGGATGGTACGTGTTCCGGTCGAAGCATTGCTCTGCATAAAACTAAAACATTTATAGGGAACAATCTACTACACAGCGCACAATTATTGGAAGAACCCATTCCTGACCACTGCTGAAGTTTTCAGAGTCGCAGATGACTTTGGCCGTTTCCAACTTCCAGTCCGACTTTTCAAACGTCCGTTGCTTGGCTGGATGCATGGCTCTTTTATATTGATCAACGGTGCTGTAGAAAACAAAGTCACCTGGGCCACTGGGTGTCTTGCCGAAGACTTTTGGTTTGCTTTCCACGTATGTGATCTGACCACATCAACAAAGGACTTGCTAATCTCGAAATACTCGACCGAGCAGGCCGCACGGCAGGGATTCAAGTTCGGTTGGATTCACGCCATCGCACGAGAACAGCCTCCCGTCAGAGTCTCAGACTTGATCAAACAACGTAGGAGGTGGTACACCGGGATCATGTCTATAGATAGTGGGTTGGTTAAGTTGGTTCTCGCGGTTCCTATGATGGGTCCGTTAGCTTATGCAAGTCTGTAAGTAGTTTGAAGAGTGTTGAAGGTTCTAACACTAATGTCGTATCTAGAAATTTATATACATTCATTAGCGGATGGCATATCTCGGTTTCGCATTGGTTCTTCGTGTGGAATATGTGCAACTTCGCTGTGGACGCGCATGGTCTTATCGTGGGGAGTGTGCTCCAGGACTTACACCTTGGTGACACCTCTCTGGGTGGTTTGGTTCTGCATGTCATTTTGACATTGCTTTGCGCACCATTTGTACAGTTTGCGCATTCAATCATCTTCTTGTCGGCATTGATTTGGCCCGCAAGCAATTTTGTGGTGATCAAAAAGGTATAGCATGATGGCTTCCGAGCCGATGATACGTCGAAGATGAGTTGCTAGATAATATATGGTACTGCGAATAAGGATTTCATTGTATCGCTGTCAGTCTGTATGGGTTTTCATGTCCGTGGGTTCTTCGAGTTGACGGCGATTGTCGCATACGTTATGACGGTATCTGAATAACTGCAAATCAGAATTGAAGTCGGAGGATACTATGTGCCAACACCGCTCTTGGCCGACGATCCATGACTTATCGTGCGCTGACCCCATAGGGCTGATGCGAATGAGCCATGCCAAGATTATGCAAGTTGATAGATACCAGATCTAGAAGAACTACACATGGGCGTCACATATGAGAAAGCTTTCGAATTAGCCCAAGAGGCTTGGACTTGGATATTATCTAGGTATTATGGATCAAAAGGAGAGGACAGGTTCACTAGATGACATCCAAGTGAATATTTCCCTATTTCGCCAAAATCAACCCTCGACCGTTACCGGTATCTCCAAATACTCAACCATTTTCTCCCTCGCGCGCTCGACCTGATCCTGTACATCTAGATCCCAAAGCCACTTCAAACGTTGATCAAGCGTTTCCTTTAGCTTTGCCGGATCGTCACGAACCCCATCAAAACACAGACAAAGGATATCTGCATTCTCCTTGCTGCTAGTAACAACTCTCTGGCTCCTAGGCCGACGAATGTCATCATATGCCTTGAAAGCCGCAACAACATCGTGGACGGAACCGACACGAGAATCACTCAGTAGTTCCGCGAGAACATGTGCATCCTCAATAGCCTGGCCAGCGCCAGCACCCTGATGCGGCGTGGAAGCATGTGCAGCATCGCCGAGAATCGCTACCCTGGAGCGAGCATAGGTCGAGATAGGCGGGTGCTCGAAGATAGCCCATTGAGATGGATCGGGCATATGCTACAAGGAACAAGATAAGTAATTCGGTACCCAGCAAAAAACACCAACCCCAAACAAACACATGGAACATAAAGCATGAAACATACCTCAACAAGAGCCTTCACATACCGCCCCATATCTCTCGTATCCCTTTCCATATCTTCCCTCCTCGCCGGCCTCACCCAAGACTCATATTCCCACGGCTCAGAACTCAACACATAAATACCAACATTAACCAAACGGCCCCTCATTATGGGATACGAGATCCCGTAAGCTCCACGTCCGATATAAATCGTCGCAACATGCGCCCTCTTCTCCCCAACAGCTTTAACCATATCCCCCATCTCAAGCACAGCCCGATACCCATACATGCCACTATAGACGGGCTTCGTGCGCAACGATTCAACGGGGATCATGCACTCCTTAACCCTGGAGCGAATACCATCACAGCCAACGACAACATCAGCATCCACAACCTCCCCATCCTCAAAGCCCAGCACAACGCGCTCATCATGTTCAACGAGCATGTTTAACCTCTTCCCGAAATGCACGATATCAGACGGGACGAGGTCAACAAGGGCATTTAAGAAATCTGCTCTTCGAAGCGCGGTCTGGCCGGAGGGAAGAGCTTTTAGGTTCATTAGGACATTTCCTTCTTGTGGGCCTGTCGCCCAGACGAGCTCGAACCAGGTTTGTACGTATTCTTCGTAGCCTGGGCTGTCTGCGTGTGTTGTTATGAGAGAGTCGTAGATTTGTTGGATTTCCGGGTGGATTAGGGGCATTGCGCGGTATGCTGCTGGACCTAGGGAGATTCCTAGGCCTATTTCTTTGAAGCTTTGGGCTGCTTCGTAGATTTGGACTGGGATTTTGCGGAGGTGTAGGCCTGCTGCTAGGGTTAGGCCGCCTATTCCGCCGCCGACTATTGTTATTGTGGGTTTGGTAGGTGACATGCTTTTTGGAGGTTGCTCGAGTTGGCTGGAGATGGGATTGGTGATTGGAAGCGTTAAATAGTTCGTTTGGGCTCAATGCCACTTGTAAGTACTCTCATGAGATTGTATAATGTCGACAAGGTTGGGAGTCTTAGTGTACCATACAGCCACATGGGCGTGTGTGGTACGTGATCCCGGTCATTAGTACGACAATGACTGTATGTCCGACGTCGGGGAGTCAGATAGAGGGGTAAAAGCTTTTCGAATGCGGGACTTTTTCAATTGAAGCTGGCGGATTGGACAGGTGCCAGGCAAGTGGACTATCGGACATCCCGTGGTGGCACTTGATCTGCACTATTAGCGCGGGGCATATAGTTTGCTGAGAAGTGCACAGCATGGATGGCGGGGTCTACATCGTAGGGTATGTATTGATATGGACGCTGTTTACAGGGATCTTCTTGAATGGAGAAGTATATGTTGACATTAAACCTGGAAGGGTACAAGATAGCGCCAATCGTCACGAATCGTGCGTTTGCGTGTGCAACTCTAATTTGTCGTGCATGTCCCAATCCATAAGACGAGAGAGCGGACATGTACTCGACATGTAGCTCAGCGCGGTGACCTTGGTCGAAGTCGCGATCCTGTCGCGGGGATGCCCCTGGGGGTCCAAAGTGGCGCATTGACATGTGCAGAAGAAACGACAAGCCTGAGGTACATCGTACCCGTTCAGGCGGTCTAGAATATAGAAGGGAAAAGAGCCAAACGCTAGAAAGAAAGGGGAAAGAGTTGCATATTTTGCAACATGGCACAATCAAATCATGGGAGCGGTCACAACCCGCTGACGCTCCCACTTCGGAGGACCCCAGGGATCATCATGGGGGTAGATATCCGACCGATCCCAATCGGAGTCGCTGTCCGTAATACCGGTGGGCTTATCATCCGACCTCAGCGGCGGGGAAGTATCAGAGTCACCTAGCGCCCGACGGAAGCGCAGGAACTGCCGCGACTCCGTGGGATGGCCGGGCTGCATCATGCCCATACCCGACTGCATGGAATCGAGTGCTGCGCGCTGCAGATCGCGAATGTCTTCGCGCAGACCACCGACTTGTGTCTCCAGGTTTCTGCGAGCTGTTTGTTCGCGACGCAGGAGCGTAACCAGCGTGCTGTATTGCTCGATTGAGACGCCCTGATAGTCGGACAGGGAGGTGGCTGATGGGGCGGGGCGGAGGGTGCGCGGGGTCATTGGGTCGGCGCGGATTGTGCTCGTGCTAGAGGGCCGGGTCGATATAGTTGGCAGGGGGCTTGGGGATTCATCGCGGTCGATTGCGGATAGGAATGCGGTGGGTTTGTTGCGCATGTGCGGGGGGAAGGAGTCTGATGAAGGGGGGTGTCGTGGGCGCGAGAGTTTTTCGGTGGGGTCTTCGGGGCTGTTGGTTTGCAGTCGGGCAATGGCAAATTCCAGGTCGATTAGTTTCACTTCTAGCGTGGTCAACCGCTGTTCCAGAGTGACGCTGTCATCTTGCTGCATTGTGTTGACTAGACTTGCGACGTTCGACGGGAGGCTGGGTTGTTCTGCCTGCTCGTCGACCTCCATCAAAGATGGTGCGGCGGACATTCGGGTCACACTGGTTACTGTTGTTCCCGACGAGGGCCTCCCCGACTGCCCACTATTAGAGCTCTCATCTAATGGCGGGGACTGCGAACCGGGAACCGAGGCTGGCCTAGGAGGGGCGGATGATGTGCGTTGTGGCCAAGAGACCAGTGTCTCTGGTAGATTATCTGTCATTTCGCGCAAGGCATCTGTGCTTCTCGATAGGCGGTGGGAGAGCAAGCTGTGTCTTCGCTCTGGTATATGGCTCCTATCCTCTTGGGGATCAGATATTGCCGATGCGACCGCGAACCGAGATTCATCATCTGAAAAAACCACGCTGGGAAGAGTTGCCCGTCTTCGGCGTGGCATGCTACCGGGCATTGAATCACGCAGGGTTGCAGACGATAGAGGAGATAAGGGAGATAGATGTGTATCTGCGAGCTGGAGGTTCTCCGCCGAGAGTGGACTACTCCGATGTGAATTCAAATTCAGAGGAGGCGGAACGGCCAACAGTGATCTCCCTTTCGTTGGTACTGATTTCCGCATCGGTGGCGTCGCAAAAGTAGATTCGTATGGGTTCTCTTCCAGTTCATCGGCCTGACTTTGTCTTTTCCGGTTGAAGATCTTGCGCATCACTGTTTTCAAGGTGCTCCCTGTGCGACGATGGGCAATAGACGGCTGGGGGTGATGAGAGTGAAATTCCATTGACGGCAGCGCTGTATCATTGTCTCCCATATGAAGTGCAGGGTTCGAGCTGGAGCGCTCTGCCCGGGCGGGAGAGGATTGTCGTAAACTCCCAACGGACTCGCTACCGGCGCTCGCTATAGATCGTGTGGGTTGTCTCGACATGGCGATGGGATAAGGTCGCAATCAACAAATAGTGAGCATAGAAGGTATGGGAAAGATATCGACTTTGATCATTAAAAGCAATATGGGTATATGGCGCAAAAGAGATAGAAAAAAAGAAAAAGATTTCAAGCGAGTGTCGGGAAATAAATATCGAAGGGTATAAGGGTATCAATTCGAATAAAGGCTGGAATTCAGTCGACTGAGACTATTGAAAGCTATCAAACGCATGTTAGCTGAAGAACCAGGGTGTTACAAACGGGACGTACGTTATACTCAGGGACATAATGAATCCCTTCCCGGTTTGCCAGTCTGAAAACAAAGAAAAAAGAATGAAAGAAAGAACAAAGGGGAGAGAAGAGAAGTTGGGAAGGGAAATTGGAGATTAGGGAGAAACAGAGAGGAGAGAGACAAGAGAAAGCTATTATCCCCACACCGGTACTTCACACCACAGCCGAACAGGTTTGGGAAAAAAAAAAGAGAAGTGGGATAAAATGAATAAAAAGGCTTAGTTCATAGAATGATAATAGTCTATACTCTACTCTGTTTCTACTTACCTCAAAGGAGTGAAGTGAAACACATGGCGAAGATGCTGTTATCCGTCTTTGAGCACTTTCAACTTGAACTTCAACCCAATAGCCAGTAGTCCACGTCTTTCGTCTTCCTTTTATCAATGAACCCCTCATGGCCCTCTCTCAGCCGTGTATTGGCCAAGGGGGGAAGAATCACCCTATTCTGTTTCGGGAAATGCATCTCCGACGCAGAAATGATCGACTAGGCGTTTCAAAACACCTTATCACCCAAGAGTTTCGGGCTGAGTCCGGAGAGTATTTGAGTTGTTTGAGTTCTTGACCCCCTGTTCATCCCTTGCATAGGCCGTGCGGTATGAGATTTAATCTATTTTCTATTCTGTACATCCTTGGAGATCGACATTGTTCTGGAACTGGGATTTCTCGATCTGTAAAAGTCCCGATCATAGCAAATCGCCAGCATCGGGGTATCGTAGGTCGGCGTTTTCTTCTAGGAAGTCCATCCAGTGCTTAAGGAAGCTACTCCCACTGTAAAAAAAAAGAATGTCGATCAGTATTAAACCCTCACCTGGGCAAACTTAGTGGCATCCCGCACTTACTGACTAATCGTCTCCGAGTCTCCGCAAATACACAAATGTCGCTTAGGTCGCGTCATGGCAACTATACGTGCAGCATCGTTAATATATTGAATGCGCTGCAGGTGCAATAGCTGCACAGTTGCAACAGTCCGCAAAAAAAGGGGGGGGGGAACATACCATTCAGTCTTCGCTTCTCACCCAGGAAACCCACTTCATGCTCCGCATTGCTGCGCACTAGGCTCACCACAACGGCTTCTTTCTCGCGCCCCTGGAATCCATCGACACTGCCAAGTTCAAGGCCAGGGTATTTCTCTCGTAGCATGCGCGACAGTAGAGCTAACTGCCCGTTGTAAGGGGTGATCACAGCAATACTGTCGGGCGGGATGCCCGCGTCAATCAGGTTGTCCACGTGTCTGGCAACCACCATGGCTTCCATCTCGTTGCTTTTGCTGTCTCCAAGCAAGGCTCCCTTCTTGCTGATCTCATCCTCTACCTTTTCGGGGAAGTCTCCGCCTTGCGTGTCCCAGAATACCAGAGGTTCCTGTGTGTCGTCTGTGCCCTCTACTTCGTAGGGTAGGTCGATCAGTAGACGGGCTTTCACCGCGTCGCTAGCTATCAACTTCCCCTCGTAAAGTTCGTCGGAGGGGAATCGCATGATCTTCTCATGCATGCGATATTGGGTGGTCAACATGCGTTTGATCCCCGGTCCGTGCAGGGCTAATAAACGATCGAATAATGTACGTTCAAGAGAGACCCCCTTTAATGTCTCAATGTCATTGTCGGTGTCCTTGGAAGTTTGATCCTCAGAGTTCTGCCTGGTAGATTTAACTGTCGGTGGTAATTGCAGGTGGTCACCGGCCAGGACAACCTTCTCTGCACCCAGAAGAGAAATCCAACATTGTGCCTCGAGGGCTTGACTCGCCTCGTCGATAATCACAACATCGAACTTCTGGTTCTTAAGTTGATGGCCCCCAGCACCGTGAAGAGTAGCCAACACCACACTACTCTCGCGCACCAGATTATCCACGCATTTAGACTCGCGCTCTCGGAACTCCTTCCGCAGCAGCTTCAAATCATCATATATACCTCGTCGTTCGCGACCAGACCGGGTCTTGCGAATACTAGCCTGTTTCTCGTCAATCTCTTTCCGAATATCCTTCACAATACCCCCAGCATCAGAGGTCTGCGTAAGAACTTCAAGGGAATGCTCAAGAACAGAAGGAAGCAGACGAGCCGGATGCCCGATGCGCACAACAGGTACTTTCTTGGGAGCCAGACGTTCCACGATATTATCAACAGAAACATTCGACGGTCCACAGACGAGAATGCGCTTTTTCCGCTGAACCAATTGCAAAATCAATTCAATGAGCGTATGTGTCTTTCCCGTCCCAGGCGGACCATGAATCAAAGCAATATCCCGCGAAGCCAGCGCGAACTGAATAGCCTCCTTCTGCGAATCATTGAGGGTAGGATCGGTAAACTCCACAGGTCCACACGCCTCAGTATCCAGCTGTAGTGGCGTTGTATGTCCAAACGCAACACGCATAAAATGCGAATAATCGGACTCCGTCATCTTAACCATCTTCTCCATAGTCTGCCTCATCCTAGCCCAAAGTCAGCAAATCACCCAATATCCAACGAAGCAGTCTCTCCCCACTCCAATAATCCAACCAACATACCTTCTATACGTAACATCATTAGCAAGCTTAATAGCCCACACCTTCTTCCCCCAAAGCTCCTCAACAGCCTCATCATCCTCTTTAGCCACCCCTCCACCATGCCGCCCAAACGCAATCCACACAGCGCGATCACCAGTACGCGTAACAACGCCCTCAACCCCCTTCTCCGAATCTCTCTCTTTCTCCTTATCTTTATCCTTCCCGACCTTCTTCCCCGCACCCGCAACGTCACTAACACGCACAACATCCCCGACGCGAATCCCATGCGACCCAAGACGAGGCGTCCCATCAGCGGCCCGAGACTCTTCTGACGCGACTGCTGGATCCGGGGCGAACTCGCCCACGACGCGTCCGCCGAGGCCGGTTCGACATTGGGAGAGGATGAGGCCTGTTAGGGCGTAGCCGGTTGCTTGGAGGGTCCGGCGGGTGGAGGGGGAGACTGTTGCGGCTGTGCTGGCGAGTTTTGAGGAGGAGACTTCGGCGGCGTGTTCTTCGTGGAGGAGGTTGAGTTGGGTTGAGGCAAAGAGGGGGATTGGGATTGGGGTTGGAGGGGGCATTTTGGGCGAGGGTTTTAGGCGGCGTGGGTTGTGCGGAGGTTGGAGGTTGCATCTATGGAGAGAGGTGCCCTCGTAAACTGGTGCTGCTGGATTGCCGATTGACGACTTCTACGGGTTGTTGCTGGGAGCGGGGATAGAGAAGCTTCAGTCGCCTTATGTCCGAGGTGGGGATGATATGATTGGCTGTAGATTTGGAGTCTTCTAAGGTTCAATGTTGTGCACAAGCACAATATATATATCTGACCTTTATACTATGTTCCTGAAGAGAATCAACAAGCAACAACCAAGATCCAATACAGACCTACCAACAGATTGCTTCCAGATTATGGCGAGCGCAATAGAACCGCCGGCTATCACTGGTTCAGTGAGGTTGGACCTGCCGACGTCACAAACCGCACTCTCACCCTCCTCCCCGAACAATTGTACATCACCAGCGGCAATGATCGGGGCTTATACGATCGGCTTGTTACCACTGATCCAGACAATTTCGTGGGTCAAAAGTATTTTAAGCTCGTCCGCTGCATGGTGCAGCAGACATCCGCATTGTCTGCCTACAAATATACGTGGCATGCCAGCGGAAGGACCTTGATCAAAGCATCCCAAGGCGACGAACCGTGGATGTATCCAGTTAGCAAGCTTGATTATGTCTCCGGCATTGCGATGACTCCAACCACGGTAAATAGTTGGACTGTGCTTCTCATATCTTCACGAGTGCAGCCAAAATCACAGCTGGGCTGCTCACCGTCACTTTGGCAGCATCGTGGGGGGTATTTTCGACATGGCGGATGTATTCAATGAGCAAAGAAGTGAGGGAGAACGCCGATTTGGAGGGCTTTGCCACAGCTGCTGCCAAGGCAGTAGACGAGTACAACAAGAAATTTCCTGGGGACAAGAAGAAGAAGCCCAACACCTCTGATATCCCTGCGACCAAGCTGGATATCCACAACAAGAAGGTTTTAAATATGCACTTTGGGACCTCTCATAACGGTACCAAGACAAACGCATAAATTCTTGGACATTTACCTCCTCAGCCAGAGCAAAGAGGCTACGGCTTCAGTAGTGATGGCACCCGGATAACCTTTGGAGGAGAACACATTCTGCAGATACCTACGGAGTATTGACCACACTGCTTGTTGTTCTTCCCTCTTCAGTCCATCTCAATTGAGGACCCTCAAGAATCTAAAGATAACTACATTTGACATGCTCTCATTTGGACGTGGATGTGATAAGTACCTTGGGCAAGTATATCGTCCCTGGGACAGTTGCACGCGCCCCTACTGCATGCACCCCTACTGCTAGCGCCCTACAACTAGCGCCAGTCACTGACATTACAACCAATGATTGAAATAGAAGCAAAATATGACTTACAAGCGGCACATGAAACATCAAGCTGAACTTAGTAACCACTTTTCCGCCAATGGCTTAATCGGAATGTCGGCCACAGGGGAGGGGAGGGGCGAGGGAGTTAATAATAGATTGACTTGGATCTACATATGCAGCGTCTGAGGCATTAGTTGAGGCTATCGCGTTCGAGGTGTTTCAGGTTAATGAAGGAGAGAAAATATCGTATCGCTAATGAAAGGCCTTTTGTCAAGTCGGGTGTGTCTAAAGAAGTTCTTCATGCCGATTCCAATCAAGGTGCGAAAGAGGGCGATGTAGGTCCAACTCTGGCAAATGGCTCATTACCATCCGCGACTCGATGGACTATCTCGCGCCTTCAATCCCAGCAGGTCATCTAGAATCCGATCACTGAGGATGTCACTTTTTGTTAGATCGAGCAGTAAGCGCCCATGCAGTGACACGTTGCGGGCGTGATACGTTGCTGGCGGCTACAACTGTCTCAGCCAGTGGAAAGTGATACTTAAGGAGGCCCGATACTACATCCCATTATTATTGTGACAAAGAATAATTTTTGCCATACTTCAGAAAGTCTGTTCGCTGAATCATGCAAATTTTCCGACGCCAGCGCGAGACCGTTTTCAATGTGCAAGAAACAGGGCATAACAGCCTTGCATCTTACCGCGCACATGACCCCGCCGCTTTGCCTCAACGCCCCCCGGTTTCCCACGTTATAGATGCATGTGGCATCAAAGTCTTGAGCGACCCACCTAATGCTACATGTGATATATGTTTCATTCACGGTCTGACGGGCGATCGAGAGAAGACCTGGACCGCCGATGGCCAATCTACGCCCTGGCCCGAAGCACTGCTTCCACAGAAACTCCAAAAAGCTCGCATTCTTACATACGGCTACGATGCGTATGTAGTCTCGAAGTCGACTGCCTCGTTGAACCGGTTGCTCGACCACGCCACGAATCTCCTAGCCGATTTAACATCTGACCGGGAATCCTGCGGTGCGCCTTCACGCCCGCTCATTTTTGTTGCCCATAGCCTTGGGGGACTGGTGTGCAAGATGGCTATCCTCATATCACGAAACAACCCTGAAACACACTTCCAGGATGTGTTCAACTCTCTCAAGGGCGTGATATTCATGGGAACCCCTCACATGGGGGCTTGGATGGCGAACTGGGCCAAGATTCCTGCCACGACGTTTGGTTTCGTGAAGTCCGTCAACGTCAAGTTGATAGATATCCTACAGAGTGATAATCAGCTCCTGGAGTCAATGCAGCGTGACTTTTTGGCTATGGTGCGCCAACTACGGGAAAATGGTCGGCGCCTTGAGGTCACCTGCTTCTTTGAAGAGCTTTCTACCTTTGGGGTCGGACCGATCGTATCAAAAGAGTCAGCCACTTTCGATAGCTATACGCCCCGTAGCATTCACGCTGATCACCGGAACATGGTCAAATTTGCAACAGTGGAAGATAACGGTTTCAAGAGGGTGTCAGGAGAACTTGTCAGATGGACATTGGCAGTCGGTAAGAAGGATTAGCATACCACTCATACGGGAATTTGCCTAGCCAAATTCAATTCAAAGATAAACCACCGCTTATGAACCCAAAAATAAACCAATACAAACTAGATGCAGAGGATGCAGCCTGTCTACAGGATCTATATACGAGATCCTCGTAATGACAAGACACGTATCGAAAAAGTCAAGGGCGGACTACTGAAGGATTCGTATCACTGGATCTTCGAGAACGATGACTTCAAACAATGGCACTATAAGCGACAAAGTCAGCTGCTCTGGATCAAAGGGGATCCTGGGAAGGGCAAAACAATGCTTTTGTGTGGAATCATCAACGAGCTGAAATTGTCATCTGAAGCTTGTGTCGTCTTTTTCTTCTGTCAGGCCACAGACGCCCGAATAAACCGCGCTACTGCAGTCCTTCGCGGCCTGATATATATGCTGGTTGACAACTAGCCCAACCTCATCTCCCATGTACGACGACAGCATGATAAGACCGGGAAAACAGGGGTTGAGGATGTCAATGCATGGGAAATCTTGTCAAAAATCTTCAGTGGTATCCTCGAGGATCCGCTCTTACAGAGCACATATATGATCATTGATGCCCTCGATGGATGTACAAAAGACCGGGACCTGCTTCTTGATTTTGTCGTCCAGAAATCATCAGTATGCCCACGTGTCAAATGGATTGTCTCAAGTCGTAACTGGCCGGATATCGGAAGAGGCTCTTGAGCCTGCAACCCAAAAAGCAACGCTTTGGCTGGAGTTAAAGAAAAGTCCTTTGCCGAGGCCATGACCACCTTCATGGGACATAAAGTTCAGGAATTGACGAAACAAAAGAAGTTTAAAGCAGAAGTACGTGATGCTATTTCTGAACACTTGTTTTCAAACGCACATGGTACCTTCCTCTGGGTGGCCCTGGTCTGCGAGGAGCTCGCCAAGGCAGCACGATGGAACGGGAATGTCCGTTCGCTATTGACTGCATTTCCGCCGGGCCTCGAATTCCTCTACGCTCGGATGATTGAGCGAATTCACGATCATCATTCAGCAGATGCAGAACTTTGCAAGCGAATTCTAGGTGTCGTCCTACTTGTATACCGACCCATCACGCTAGACGAGTTGCCAACTTTGGTGGATATGCCCGTAGATATCACTACTGACCAACAGTCTTCAACCGAAATTGTGGAGGCATGTGGTTCGTTTCTCACAATCCGAGAAGATGGTATCTTCTTTGTGCATCAGTCCGCAAAGGATTTTCTCCTTCAATCCGCATCAAAGGAGATATTTTCGCGAGGAATTGCAGCCGAGCATTATACGATTTTCTTTCCTCTCTGCAATCGTTCAGGACACTTCGATGTGATATATATGGCCTGAAATCGCCCGGATTTCCCATTTCCCAAGTCAAACAACCCGATCCAAATCTATTGGCATCTGTACGGTACTCATGTCTCTACTGGGTTGATCACCTCCATGACGGCAATGTGGTTGATGATCCGCGGGAGTGTGATCTAGTTGAGGAGTTTCTAAAAAATAGATATTTTTTCTGGCTCGAAGCGACGAGTCTCATGGGCCATATCTCAGAAGGGATAGTCGCCATAGTCAAGATGGAGAGGCATTTTCAGGTTAATGACCCGTGGATCACTTTTGCGATTGTTAATCTGCATTGCTAACCGCAGGGTGCTATCATAGAGATTGAACAACGGAAACGAGCTTGCAGAACGAGTCCGAGACGCGTCTCGATTCATCCAGTACCACGTGCCAGCAATTGAATGCAACCCCCTACAAGTCTACACCTCATCGGTTATCTTCAGCCCAACCAGGAGTATGATAAAAGCTTGTTATCAATCAGTGACACCAAATTGGATTCTCTAGGAGCCAGTGGTGGAAGATGATTGGAGTCCATGCCTTCAGATTCTCCAAGGGCATACCGCCCCGGTCGACTCGATTGCGTGGTCCAAAGACGGAAGCTTGCTCGCATCAGGATCAACGGATGGAACCATATGATCTGGGACCCACTGTCCGGGCGGTGCGTATCGACCCTTGGAGGGCATAGCAGGTTGGACGGGGGCCCATTGGCATTGGCCGGGCCGTGCATATCGACCCTCGTACGGCGTCGCGGTCGGGTCGCATCATTGAAGTGGTCCCAAGATGGACGCCGGCTCACATCACTGTCAAATGATATGATCCTCAGGATCTGGGACCCAGTCAGCGGGCGGTGTATCGACCCTCGAAGGGTATTACCGTCAGCTCAGATCAATGACGTGGTCCAAAGATGGAATTTTGCTCGCATCAAGATCAACAAGAGATGGAACCATCCAAATCTGGGACCAGGTGACCGGACGGCGTATATCGACCATTGAAAGGGACCAGGTGACCAGGCGGCATTTCTCGACCATTGAAGGACATAGCCAGTCGGTTAAATCGATTTCGTGGTCCGAAGATGGAAGCTTGCTGGCATCAGGATCAGTTGACGGAACCGTCAAGATCTGGGATCCATTGGCCGGGCGATGTATATCGACCCTCGAAGGGCATTACTATTATGTCTGGATATTGTGTGGTCCCAAGATAGAAGCTGGCTCGCATCTAGGTCAGTTGATCAACTCGTCAGGATCTGGGAGCCATTAACCGGGCGGTGCATATCGACACTTGAGGACTGTAAATTGCAGCCGGGTCGATGGCCTGGTCTCATGATGGGGAGTGGCTCGCATTAGCGGGTAAGGGGCCCATGATCTGGAACCGAGCCACCAGGTGTATATCGATCCTCGAGGGGCATCGCCTCCCGGTCGCAACAATTTTCTGGCCTAGGGACGGGAACCGGCTCGCGACAGGGTCACAAGATGGGACAGTCAAGATTTGGGATGTGGCCACAGAAACATGTGTGTCAACTTTTGGTGTCTACTCTCCTCGTAGACTTCAATTTGATGAGGTGAATGTGCATCATCTGCATCCCGATGAGGGTGTATTCGATTTGAAGTCATTTTCCCTTGTCCGGACCTCACTGGCGCATTCACGTCCTCGGCGATGGCAAGGCCAAGGAGCCTACGGCTCCACTAGTGATGGCACCTGGATAATATTTAGAGGAGAAGACATCCTGCGGATACATTCGGAGTATCGGCCATACTGCTTGTCGTTCTTCCCTACGTGTGCCACAACAACAGTGGCACTTGGCTGTTCCACGGGCCATGTGTTGTTCTTGACCCTGTCAAATGATCCAAATAGTCCGTTCTCACACGCCATCTAGAGCGTCACAACGGCCATTGAAGCGCCGTTTGACGTAGGTCCAACGCAAAGATCAGCATGAAAGAGTGGTGGGCTGTATATAGCGACATACGTGCCTCCGATAATTCAATTGTTTAAACGGACGGCGCAAACATTGATGGAAAATTGCTGTTCGATACCATTGTTGAAGTAGGACAGATATTTTGTAGTTTTAAGTGTAAGGGAAGAAGGTTTAACGAACAAAATTGGAATTTTCTACGGGCTCGCAGGATGGATGCTCCACACCCAGATCAATATTATCTGATATTGCTGCTTGATCAAGTTCTTAGTTCCTAACGGAATGTCCACGAGTCGAAAGCGAAGGCTCATGATAACTGTGAATTGTTGTCTGCGACAGTCCAGTCGGTTGAGCGTCCGTATACAGAATGACGTTTAAGCAAGTCTTCCCGGCGGGAAAGGAGGGAGTGCCGTTTATGTTTGTGGCAACAGACCCTTCAGCTCTTCGAGTCTGAAAGGACGAGATTGGTTCTTTGGTCAGGCCCCGTCTTAGCGCCGGGTTGGTCGAGAAAAAGACCTCATTCGCCTTTCGGGGGTTGTGACATGTGACAGGCGTTGGCGAAGCGCCGAGAATTGTGCCTGGGGGCCAACGGCGGCAACAGATATTCGGGGAAACAGCACCTCCAGCTAGAGATTGCCCAAGTAGTTCCAAACAAGGGAACCTTGGATGGTTGCGTCAAAGGAAGATTAGCGGTGTTCAGCCCGTTCGCCGCGCGATAGTTCCGATCCAAAGCCACCCGTGGACGATTTCTTGAGACAAAAAATAATTATATCAGGCCATTATAAGAAAATCGTATCAAGCGAATAAGCCGGCGCCACGCTTCCCATCCAGAGAAGCATGAACCGTATAAATTAAACCAGCAATCTACAAGCAGACAAGTCTCAATCAAACAGCCTCAATCTTAACCTTGGGCTCCTCAAGCTCAAGACTCTTCTTAGCCTTCAGCATCGGCTTAAGCCCTCGAATCTCACCTTTGCAAAGCCGCGAGCCAGCCAGCTCACAATCCCCACAGCGACGCTTAACAGGCAAACAAATCGTCTGCCCCAACCCAACAAGTAACTCATTGATCTCATGCCATTTTTCTTGTGGCAACCACGACTGCAGTGCTTTCCTCGTCTCCTCGGGCGTCTTGGTCTTATTCCAACCCCAGAGATTGGTAATGCGATGAACATGCACATCGACACCGATTCCCACGTGTTTTCCCCATGCCGCGCTCATACAGAGGTAAGCCATTTTGGGTCCGACGCCGGGAAGCGACATGAGGCCCTCTGGAGTCGTGGGGATATCGCCTGCGTGCTGGTCTCGTAAGATCAGCGCGGTGGCTTTGATGTATTTGGTTTTGTTGTTGTGGAAACCGACCGTGCGGATTAGTTCGTTTAGACGCGTTGGGTCCACGGCGAGGATGTTGGTTAGGTTGAGGGTGCTGTCGACGGGTTTTGAATCATCGTCTTCTTGTTTGATTTTGATATCTTGAGCTGGCGCGGTGCGGTCTCCGAGCTCGGTGTGGAGGCGTTGCATCGCTACTGCCGTGACTGTGTCCTTAGTCTGGGATGAGAGCATCAATGCGATAAGTGTCTGGAATCGACGGTCTATTGGTGATGAGGTGGGCCAGAACAGCTTCGAGCAGCCCATTGTGTCTACTGGTGCAAATGAAGCCGGGCCCTCCTTGGCCCTCCTCATGTTTTGCACAGTTTCGTACATCTTCTCCCAGTTGGACGGGGGCTCGACCTTGTCTAAGCCGTCTATCCCGCGGATTTTTCGGGCCGGGAGTCGTCTTTGCTTGGGTGCCGGTGTTGGTTTCTGATCGGGCTCATCCTTCACTATCACCTTTCGAGGTGTGCGAGGACTTGCGCCCTCCCTGAGGACGCGTGGGTTTATGGGGCTCGCGTTTCGCTTTTGGCGCTTCGATGGCGGTTCAAGGAGGTCTTCGATATCCGCCGTGTCGGCCTCGGAGAGCTCCGAGAGGGAAGATTCATCGTCGCTTTTGACAGCAGAGATACTGGGTGTTGTCGAAATATCTTCTGACTCCGGTTCTGTCTTGATGGTCGGGGTTGCATTTGCGTTGTAGGCGAAACTTTTCAGAGCGCTCGCATTGGAGTTACGTGTTTGTCGCCCGATAGGATGCGACAGAGCCTGCAGCACCTTCGCGGTGTCCCTCGAAGTGCGAGAAGTGCGCATAGCGAATTAACAGAGATCTAACCGAAAACAGAAAGGAAGACAGTCGGAGGCAATTTCACGTGAGAGTTGTCGGATGATCGATCCATGGGTGGGCCGGGTAGAGTATCCCCAACCTCGGCGATCGCGGTGCCGACCGACTTTCCCAACTCCGTGAGGCGCGCACTTCAACCTACACATCTAATTCATACTCTACCACATTCCGCATGGCGCCACGGACCTCTGCTCTTACTGCACCAAGCAGGCTCTTCAAAGAGCTGAAGGATTATAACAAGGAGGGGGAGAATGAAACATTCCTGTTCCTACGACCTGTTGACGAAGACGACATACTGCACTGGGAAGCTGTATTGAAAGGTCCAGTTGGAACACCTTACGAGGGTAATTTCATGAACTCCAACGCCCCTGCCGTGGCAATTCCAGCCAATCTAACGCGACAACAGGTGGACTTTGGCACGTTAATATTGAAGTCCCACCAAACTACCCTATTGCACCGCCGACCGTCTACTTCACGACTAAGATCGTGCACCCGAATATCGACTTCCGCACAGGCGAGGTTTGTTTGTCACTCTTTGATGCGGAATGGAGTCCGGCTGGGGGTCTCTCGGCCACACTCAGAGCTATTCAGTGGCTGTTGAAGGATCCGAATCCGGATTCGCCGCTGAATGTCGAGATCGCTGTTCTACTGCGCAAAGGGGATTTGGCTGGCTATGAGAGTCTTGTCCGGTATTTGACCGAGCAGGAGCGCTGGGAGGAGGGTCTGAATCCTGGACGATGATGGCTTCTCGGAACCAGCTGACACATTCGGACCACACGCCTGGGCATACCATACCGCTGTGCACATTCCGATCATCTTGGATAAACTTGCACCTACTATACATACGAATTATACAGTCCATGAGCTAATGAATTTGCTAATTGAGCACAACTTTTTGCATTATCTTCAAAGTGAAGATAGAACATGGACTAAAGTAATCACATGAAATAATAGCGTGTGCTGTGCGCTGTAAATGTTCGAGACCACTGTTAAAACAGGAGAAACAAAAGGCCAAATGAGGCGGAATAATGAATGCTCGCCGTAAACGCCGAGAATTAAGGAGAGACATGAGTAGGTCGTCACGGGTCATGCGAAAAGATAGTACAATGACGATTGTCATGAAGATGCAGAGCCAATGCGATGTGCTGAAAAACGCCGATCGGAATGATAAAGATGCAAGCAGGCGATAAGGCAAAAGCAATCATCCATCACAGAGCCATTGCGACCACGACGGCGCCACCAACCATGGCGACAACCTCGCGAGCCATACCAGTAGGCAGGGCGGCACCATTAGTCTGCAGACCGGGCTTGCCAGCAGCGTTAGCCGAAGGTTTGCCAGTTGCCTCTGGAGTGATAACAGTGATGGAGGTAATGGTACTCAGGCTGCCATCGGGCATCGTGGTCGTGCTCTTAGAGGTGGAAGTACTCAAGCTGGTATGTTCGGTGGTACGGGCAGAGGTAGTTGTTTTATGGCTGGTGGTTGAGGTAGAGGTGGACGAAGTGCTCTTGGTAGTCGACAGAGTCGAAGGAACACTGGTGGTGTCCGAGTGAGTCGTCTGGGCGGTCGAGGACGCAGTTGTAGCAGTCGGCTGAGCAGTGGTCTGGGTCGAGACGGTGCTGGAAGTCTCGGTAGGGACAGATGCAGAGCTGCTCGGGCTGGTGCTGGGCTCACTGGTAGAGCTAGCAGAGGTGTCGGTTGGCTGAGCGCTGGTAGTTGGCTCAGTGCTAGACTCCGAGCTGGTTTCACTGGTCTCCACGGCCGAGGAGGTGGCCGGCTCAGTGGTTGGTTCGGTGGTGGGAGTAGTCACGGTAGGACCCGGTGCCGGGGAGCTAGCAGTAGCATTGTCCTGGCGCTTGGCGAGCTTGATAAGGCTGGCAATGGCGGGGTCTTCGCCTTGCAGAGCTTCAGCGGCATGAAGGTCAGTCGGGAAGATTCCATGACGGAATTTGGCAGAGAGAGCATGCAGAGCATCATGGAGCGAGGCTGCATTGATGTCGGCAAGTTCTTGGGGAGACTCACGTTGCGAGGTCCCCACTGCGTCCGCTGCGAAGACCGCAGACAGACCGAGCAGTGTCACAAAGAGCAATTGAAGAACGCTGATACGCAGCATGATTGGAGGTTGAAGATCGGCAGATCTGCTGAGAAGGTGGAGAGATGGGTAAGATGAAGAGAGAAGGAACAACAAAGCAGGTGAGATTTTTTAAAGAAGATAAAGAAGTACAAGTTGGAAGGAACCACACAGGACCCAGAGTGGCAATGCTCCCAACTTGCTTGGTTTTTTCTTTTTTCGTTTTCTATGTATTTCTTGAATTTCCGCACTAGCGACAGATAAACCCGAGCATCATCGGCGTGGCTGATTTTTCACCAGTTAAATGTCTTGGATCGGCCCCAAAGGCTTAATACGGAGTTCATCGATGAACTATTTTAGATATTACCTAGTCGATGGAGCAGAGGAAACTGTGCCACGACACAAAAAAAGGAAAGAGAATTCATTCTTCACTATGATTGGCCCGGTCTCAGCCCTGGCTAACAATAGCATGGAACAAGAGTAAGTCGTGTTGTCATATCTTTCGTTTTTACTCCATTTGGCAATTTCCAAGGGGCTCTTTCCCCTGGAACTCCCATGGTTCTATAATTCCACATTGTTACAATATCTCCCAGCGGATGTTATTATCCGATTCACTTGGATGTACCTCAACTGTACGAATAACAATACCCGTATCTAGTCGGATCCATAACCTGGCCGACCGACCGAGGCCGATCAAGAACACCGAATTCCATCTCCATATCGACCGTGACAAGCGTCGCATTCGGCGGATTGAGGAGCATATTCGTACCGTTAAGTGCGAACCGATGATGCCGCTCATCCTTCGCTTGCCAGATACTCCACAACCGATCGATCATACCGTGGTGCAGCATGAAAGCCGGGTCTTGCGGCGACGTAAACAGGTCTTGGAGGGTCGCTCCGAGGCTGAAATGGCCGCCGCCATGCACGCCCAACACACCCTTCGGCCGTGCGGGCCAGTAGTCCATGATAGTTTGGAAATCGGACATATTGGGCGCGGCCAGGAGTCTATCGACGATGGTCTCGTTATCGTAGTTACTGCTGACGAAATTGTTCAGACTTCTGTTGAAACATCGCGGGTTGTAGTCGAAGCCTGGGGCGGGGAGTTTGTCGAATGAGACGATGTTTCGATCAAATGGTCCCATGTGGATCTGCATGTCTTTGAAGGGTCCGCATCGCACACAGCCACCGCCCGATCCTCGTGGTAGGGTTACTGCACCGCCGGAGAGGCTCTGTTCGTCTGGGTTGTACTCCCCGTCGCCGGAGAGGGAGCTGTCGCTGCAGTCGAAGAGAGGACTGGCTTTTAGGTTCTCTGACCATAATGGCCAGTTCCAGTACCTGCTTCGTGTTATTATGGTTTGGGGTCGTAGTAGATGAATGGCACTTACGGGAGATGTCCAGGGTAACTACACTCTTCCCGCAGGGCCTTCTCCCAGAGCCAGAGGAAGTGACGGTGCCACGGGAGGAACAGACCACTAAGGTGGGTATTGAGTGTGTAGTTGATATGCGTACTGTATGTTATGTTAGTACTCAGTCCTTAGCATATCGAACGATACTGTAGGGAACCCACGCCACAAAATCATCGAACCGGTTCCGCACTCCTGGGTATTCTTCTCTTGGAAGATGTTGAGGCTTCCCTTGCATACACAACACCGCATTGGTGTAGTCGATCCGCTCAGCTCGCTTCAACTCTCCCCTATGCAATGTCAGGTCTCAATTGGCCCCAGGAAAATCAGGAAATACAAACCATTCCTTCCGCACATCACGGTTGTTATTTCCACACGGTCGCTCAGGCAGAGGAATGTCGATGTCGATACCGAATAGGGAGAAGTCCGCTGCTGAAACCAAAACCCCCAAGGCAATGACCAAGAAAGACTGATAAAAACCAATCATCCTGTCAATCTCAATGAAAAATACCCCGATCTACGGCTGATAAGATTCTCGGAGAAAATCTCTATACCTGGTCCATGAACACTGTATATAAGTACCTAGGTAACCCCGATCCCCCGCCACCGAGCCAATAAATCCAATAGCATCCCTTGTATGATCTGTAGGTCGACAGAGAATTTTAGATTAGCCTATCTTAGTGAACTCGGAACAAAACCTGGCCATGCGGGTTCCAGGTCTGTCCGTTTGTGAGCTGTCACACTACGAGGGTCAGAGTGCCTACATCATACATGCCCTGTAGGTGGTGCTGCACTTCCCCCCCTGCATTATATGGAGCGCCCGGTGTCTAGTATTCGGCCATTCCAAAAGCTTGGCCAGGCAGAGCTCCAAGACGATCGTCTTATTTGGTTGGAAGATGGTTGTCGTCGAGATCTATGTTGTACCTAGGCGAACTGTGTCCGCACGTTATATGCGTATGTACTTGGACCCGTATTTGAGCAGTGTGGGGGGATGCCCTAGTCGGTTTTGAAACTATAGCTGCATTTGTTACGGGACCGTCTGCAGGGCCACGACCAATGGCTCCGGAAGACTTTGATTGTGTTGATAGACGCCCGAGCGACGGCGTACATCGTACCTACATACGGAGTAAATAAGTAGGTGCTCGGATAAGGTAGGGACATTATATTATTGACTTTCTAGTCGTAGAGCCAACTTGAGCGGACAATTAACCTGGACCGAGGTACGTTGTAGTAGGAACTACGCCGTACTGCGTTAGACCAGTTCTCTCCATAATTACAATCCACATAGGGTGCGTGAAACATGCATTGCTCTACTGCACGCCGTAGGAAGGACCTAGGCATGCTAAGTCAATCACGCTGCAGACATCACCTTATGATCACATGGGTGAAGATCGAAGGGGTTTGAACGTTTGACATGAGAATGCCCTTATTGACATGCCCAATATATACCACAAACTGCAAGGCAGAGATAGTTGGCCATTGAAATGTCCCTGTCCGGACTCGTTACATAGATACGTAGCTTCAAACTCCCATAGAAGCATAGAAGCAAGTGATAACACTAGGAGGACGAGTCCACAACAAACCTTGCAAGTACAGCAAGCCAACACCACCAAACTCCGAAAGGAAACGCAGCCCTCGTAAACTCAGACCATCCTCCCGATCCAGCGACGTTCCGTCGTCCGCATGGACTCATCTTGCTACATCGCTCGGCTCGGTGAGAGTAACAAGCGTGTAAAGTAGCGAAGTGGGCCGGATATAAACAGTGCCTGTGCGCTTCTGCTCATATTGAAACCACCTTTTGAGAACACCCAATCTCGCGACAACCTCGAGATTTCATCAGGACGCCCGTTGCTGTGGCGGGAACACCATAGGAGACCCAAGGGTGATTGGACTGGGTAGGGCTTCGTTCGGATTCTTCTCGACGAGAATACACTGCTTGGTCTCGAGCAACATGGGCGGCCAAAACAGTGTTGGGAATCGACCTAGCCTGTCTGCTGCATGCTCTAGGGAACATCTAGCTGGGAGCCGGAGGGGCCACTCCTTAATACTTGAGGTTAATGGTGGGCTCGGGGAACTTGGAACTGCAGCTTTAGTGAAGAGTTTGGTGTCGTGGCCTTTGACGTTGGCGAAGAGAACTGGAGCTGTGTTCTAGGTAGCTAAGCATTTGAATGGGTGAGCCGGATATCGGGGAATTGTCCTCTGGGGAGGTGGCCATGCTTACTTTAATATTTAATTTCGAAGACTAAGCATGGAATTCCAGCCAACCTTGGATGGTAATTTTCACGCATTTCTCTACCAGCCGGCTCATGGCCCGTTCACGGGTCTATATTTCCTTCATGTCTTCGCGTCTTCCAGTTTGGCTTTTTGCTTTGCTTCAGGTTAAACTTTCCCTTGTGCCTAGTCCAGTAAGCGAGCATGAGTTACAGATCTTACAGCTACCCGAGCTTCAAGCCTTTTCACATGCCATACAGCAGGACGATACTTGGCGGTTATGCCCGCTGCGGGGGTAACCGTCTGGGGAACTAACCGAGGCAGATACGTGCAGAGGGTGAAGAACGCAGAGGTTTAATATTGACCCCAGATCCTTCCAGTTCTCTGAAAAGGCCTTTACATGCACAAACCACAATGGATGCAATAAAAGGCTTCCTCGATCATGTTCTACCCCAAGCCACAGCTTCCTGGGCTCACATAGTGGCCAAGTACTCGCCTCAGAAAATCGAGTTCGTGGGCACACTTATCGCCCAGGTCCTTACCTTCTGGATACCATCCATATGCTATATGCTCCTCGAAGTGGTGGCGCCGTCCTTCTCCCAGCGCCACAAAATCCAACCAGCACCCAAACAACCAACCCGTGGCGAGATCGCACGCTGCTTTACGGTCGTGATACAGAACCAGATCATATCATCTATACTTCATCTGACATTGCTGTCCGCCGCCAGCCATGCTGGCTTGAAATCAACATATCGCATCGAGACCTCCCTACCAGGCCCAGTCGAGATCCTCCGCGACGTGTTTCTCAGTCTGCTGATGCGCGAAGCTCTATTCTATTACAGCCACCGAATCCTGCATATACCCAGCCTCTACATCCCCATCCATAAGAAGCATCACCGATTCACCGCTCCCATCGCGCTAGCTGCTCAGTTCGCCCATCCGATTGAGCACATCTTCGCTAATACATTGCCTATCTCTCTGCCGCCACAATTACTGGGGAGCCACATAGTGACCTTTTGGGTGTTCTTGGCTTATGAGCTGGTGAATACGGCGACGGTTCATAGTGGCTATGATTTCTTCTGGCACAAGGCTAGGGCGCATGATCTTCACCATGAGAAGTTCAATTTGAATTATGGATCTCTGGGATTGTTGGACTGGGTGCATGGAACGGATAAATTGAAGAAGAGTCGCACTGTATAAACATTATCGGTCGTCGGTTGTGGTAGCTACTTTTGTGCAAATAAATCTGTGACATTGGGCAGTATCGGCGCGGCCAATGATGCACCATGGATTTGTCCCGTGTATGGGGCAATGTGGGAATGCTCTTTCCTCACTTCATTTCCTTCACTTCCTTCACTTCCTTCCTTCCCTCCGATTGATGTAGCCGGCACGACACAACAATGCACGGGGAAACTGCAGGTGGCCTTGTTCTGTGAGATGTCCCGAGGTTCAGAAGACAATGTGATGTTCCATGGTGGCTGCTCTTGGCGGGAATATTTTAGGCAGGCGGTGAATGAATAGTAGGTTATGGTTATAGTAAAAAGTCCCGACTATAAATATCCTCCTAAGACAATCGCACTAGAGGAAATAAAATTGCGGTCGCAGTCCCTTCTCTCAGTTCTGGCAAGGTCCAGCTCAATTTTGGCACTTAAAATACGTATCCTACGAAGCTCATTCCGAACCACGTAGCTGGGCTGGGCCGTCCACGGGTCTGGCGGTCGAATCCGGGGATGAAGTTTATAGTTGACAACGGCATACCCAATTAATGAGACAATCTCAACTTTAGAATACGGGCAATCTTTAGGGGACCTATCGTGATTTGTCGGTCTAGTCTTTATCCATGGATGTTATGCTAGTACGGAATACAATATACAATGTACGTTCAAAACATAAGGCGATGCGTTGTTCACAGGTACAGAGTAAGAGAGAAAGAATAGATCATTTTGATGCATATGGAGTCTGGCCACTGAGTCGAGTGTCTCATGTCTATGTATAGACTGGAAAGTGTGCCCATGGGCAGGTGGGTCTGTGGTGCCGAGACAAGTGTTTTAGCGAATAAAAAAGTAAACGATCGGATTGACTTTCTGATTGGATTCTAGAATTTGAGTGCGTTTGACGTTGAACCCCCTATGTTGTATAGTTTTGACCCCCCTTAGACCCTTATAATAATAATGCTGGACCAAGACCCCTGAAGTGCGATCGACTTGCCTAGATGGAGATGCGTCATTGCCAAGCTAGGGTTATCCACTCTCGGGGGTTTATGAGGCACCAGGATACATTTCATAGAAGTTATGTAGGGATTGGAGAGTGTACATTGGATAAATATAGTGATACAAACACGTATAATTGCAGGACATTCAATGTTGTATATTGTACCATCATTAGTTGAATAAGTTGGATAACGAAGGACCTGCAAGTAACAGTCCAAACCAGAAACACATAAATAAATAATATAAACCAATATAAACCAATGAACATCAATCATTCAGGGTCATCTCCACATAAAATCCACTGTAATATGACCCCTTGCTGATCAGGACAAAGCAGAGAGCCAATGTACATCGGTACCCTTGGCGTAGCACAGCCCATCTTTTGCCGCCTGGGGGGGTTTCTTGGCTTCCAAAACCCTTTATCCCTTGCTCTCGTCTCTTTTCCTTTCATTCTTTCTGACCTCACTTTCGTTTCTCAGTCTGTCATTCACTCTCTTTTAATCCTCTGAGCGCATCTTTTCCCACTCTCGTTCATACCATTTTTTGCTCTTTTTCATTTCCATCATGAAGTCCTCCGTAGCCTCCATGGCCACGGCCATCACCCTGGGCGCCTCGACCGTCCTCGGTGCCGCAACCAACCTCAAGGCCCGCGAGAGCGATATCACCCCCATCACTGTCAAGGGTAACGCCTTCTTCAAGGGCGATCAGCGCTTCTACATGCGCGGTGTCGACTACCAGCCCGGTGGTTCTTCCGACCTCGCCGATCCTATCGCTGATGTCGAGGGTTGCAAGCGTGACATCAAGAACTTCAAGGAATTGGGCCTCAACACTATTCGTGTCTACTCTGTCGATAACTCCAAGGACCACGACGAGTGTATGAATGCCCTCGCTGAGGCCGGCATCTACCTTGTCCTCGACGTCAACACCCCCAAGTACTCCCTCAACCGTGCCGAGCCCGAGATGTCGTACAACGATGTCTATCTTCAGTACATCTTCGCCACCATGGAGAAGTTCGCCAAGTACGACAACACCCTGGCCTTCTTCTCCGGTAACGAGGTCATCAACGACGGTCCCTCCTCCAAGGCTGCTCCTTACGTCAAGGCTGTCACCCGTGACATGCGTACTTTCCTCCGTGCTCGCAAGCTCCGTGAGGTTCCCGTCGGATACTCCGCCGCCGACGTCGACACCAACCGTCTCGAGATGGCTGAGTACATGAACTGCGGTACTGACGACGAGCGCAGCGACTTCTTCGCCTTCAACGACTACTCCTGGTGCGATCCCTCTTCCTTCACCACCTCCGGCTGGGACAAGAAGGTGGAGAACTTCACCGGCTACGGACTCCCCCTCTTCCTCTCCGAGTACGGCTGCAACACCAACACCCGCCAGTGGCAGGAGGTCAAGGCCCTCTACTCCGACAAGATGACCCCCGTCTACTCCGGTGGTCTGGTCTACGAGTACTCCGAGGCCGGCAACAAGTACGGTCTGGCCAAGATCGAAGGTGACAAGGTCACCACCAACAAGGATTACGATGCTCTCAAGAAGGCCTTCGACGCCACCGAGAACCCCTCCGGCAACGGCGGCTACAACTCCACCGGCGGTGCCTCCGGCTGCCCCAAGATGCAGAAGCCCAACTGGGATGTCGACTCCGACTCTCTCCCTGCCATGCCCGCTCCCGCCAAGAAGTACCTGACCGAGGGTGCCGGCAAGGGCGAGGGCTTCAAGGGCAAGGGTTCCCAGAACGCCGGCACCAAGTCCTCCGGCACTGCCACTCAGGGCTCCGGTGATGTCGCCGCTGCCACCGGTGGCAGCTCTGCTGCTTCCAGCACCAGCTCCGAGGGTGCTGCCGCTAGCCTCAAGCCTTTCCAGTTCAGCTTCGCCCCCGTTACCGTCGGCCTGGTGACTGTCCTGTCGACTGTCTTCGGTGCTAGCTTCGTCCTCCTGTAATGCTCCTACCCTTTATTAAGGGGCTTCATATCTTTTTCGATTCTCCCTGACATGTATCTTTTTTTAAACTGGCTTCCATCTTTTACCCTGTGATGATCATCGCTTGGGCTTTGCAAATTGGGGGATGGCGAGATGCTTTCTAGTTGGTGTATAGCAGTCATTAGTATCTACGTCTAGTGTTCAATGAAACGGAGCTGAACTGCTCATATATTCTGATCTTTCATACATAGTAACTGCCGTAGAAGCAAGAACCCCTTTCCAATCTATATTCCACTCACAGTCATCTCGACCTTCATTTGCGTCGGATATGGCGTATGATAAGCTGATACTAAGCGCAAATCCGAATTCCCTTTATCCATTTCATATGTAGTATTGATAGCCTTAATGTTACGAGTGGCTCAGCGAATTTAGTGTATACACACATGTTCTATTGGCATAAAAGGTGTTATATAAAAATCCAAATCGTTATTGCCAAAACATCAACTTTATAAATTGGATAGACAAATCGAACTTCCGTCCACTGCAACGCCCAGTTCAATAAATATACAAATCAAGGACCTGTAGAGGAGCATCAGCTCAACCAATCCGCTCAATATCAAACCGCATATGTAGGTGGCTACTCAAAAACCAAGTGTGGATCCTAGGAATATGATGCGTACCGACAGGCCAAGCCGCTAGAACAAGACGAGACACTGCCCTGCCCAGCTGTGTCCCTAGGATTCGCTCGAAGTCCGCAGTACGCATGCGCCAAGTGTGGATTTCTGGAGTTGTAGCTCTATTTTCAGGGCCCGGCAGGCGATGCTGTCTGTAGAGCACCTTCCCGACCAAAGCGATGGTCTCATCATTCTCAACATGCAACATGAAAACGTATCGGAGAGTATCGATTTGGGCGTCGTGTTTGTATAAAGCTAAAGCGATATCAGACCAATAGGGTCCCTCTTTTCTGAAAATCTCCTGAGCGATGATAGCACCCTCTACGATGTAATGCACGTAAGAAGACACGTCGATGACTTTGTCACGAATTAGACTTGAATGACGGTAATGCTGCCCTCTCGCATTCTGTGGAAGATTAGTTGATTTAAGACTCTCTCTGATTTCAGCCGGTGGGCCACCGTACGAGGTTCTCCATACATTAAACAAGGGCTCATTCGGGGGACTTGCTTCGACTAGAGGGCGAAGCCTTTGTGTTGACGGGGCTACTCCAGATGCAGCCCCTGATTGGTTAGTGTTCGCCATCCAGTTTTCAAATTGTAAACCTCTCCTTCGAAAACGAGTGATTTCGTTCCTTGGAGGTGTTGGTTGTGGTATGTGGATTCTGTCTGTATTCACAGTTGCGGAAAACTTACCCGCGTACATCCTAAGATTCCTGGGAGTCGCGGGTAGCTCAGGACGGTCTGCGCCGGGAACTTGCTCGGTGGATTCTGGACTGGGAGTCCCTGGTAATAGATTAAGGTCTGTCGATATGCCGCTTGATTTCCTCCGCTTGTAAATGCCTCGAGCTCTTGCGAGTCCTGGTACCCAAGAGGAACTAGATTCGGTCGGAGGTCTATCATCATCGTCGGCACCGTCATTGCCTCCACGCTTCCGTTTTGCACCCTGGAAAGTGGGAGTGGCAGGGGCTTCAGCAGGGGCAGTGGCACTGACTGCACTACTTTGCGTCGGTGGTGGAGGTACTTCTTCATCATTTCTACTGTCAGTAGCACGACGGAAGCGATTTACGAATCTCTTGATGGAAGATGGAGTTCTGGGCATCGTGTTGGAAATATCAAATGAAAATATATAGACAGATTTGGAAGTCTTGGAGGGTTTCTGATCTTGGTATTTGGGAATTGATATGCTTTGAATGGCTTACCTAGGTGCTGGACCGAGCGGATATTATATAGTTCTGGCCAAAAGGTCATATCTGGTCCATGATTGAGTCAGTGCTTGCATCGTCTATGAAAAGATGAAAAGAACAGAACAATGAATATTTAGAGAAACTCGAAGAACAAGGTGAGTCGAAGATATATGGAGACAATGAGGGGGTTTGAACAGGTGATTTAACAATAGAACAAAGGGAATCGACGGAAAGGATGTGGATCAAAATGCTCGAGAGATAAAGACATCGATCCTAAGCGCATTATGCAGTGAGAATTACGTTATGGAAACAAAGCAACAAAGCAGTGCCTGACGGTCGACTAAATTTAGCTTGAAGCCAAGTGCCGACTATGATAATGAACTGGAGAAGAAAGAAGTCGATGCTCCAAGGAAATTGATAGGACTGGCGACTTTCCGTAGAGCCGTCAAGGATTCTTATTGCTGTCACTATTAAAATCAAAAGCGAAGTCTGTGAAGATTTGCTCTGCTAGGGAAAGCACGATGGAGGCAAAATGTGACTACCGATGTAGTGATATAATTCATAGTATAAAATGTTATGTATTGATAACCCAAATTGAAAGCAAAGCGAAGTGAGAAAACGTAAGTGGCGAGCTTAAAAAGGAACAAAAGCGGACGGTGGTCTATGAATAAAGAAAGTCTCAGTTCAGATGGTCTTATCACTCCCCCGATGGTCACCTCGACATTCTATCATTCACAGGGAACTTTGCGTTTCAAGTCAACCTCGGGCGTTGAAATCAACAACCAACTTAGCATGTACGATCCAGATCAATCGTGTCACCTGCATCGGGCAGGAAGCCCTACTTTACATGAGACAAACCCGAGGCCGACACTCATAGACCCATACGTAGGTAATGTCTATGATAGACGTAGCTAAATCGAGTTCATGAAGGATATCGTATTGAGCATAATGATAAAATCCCAAAGGGTTGACTGACTTCTTGTTAGCTTGGACTTTACGTAGATAACTGGATCAGGCAAGACTACCTAGGTAGGACCAGTTTCCGAGACATCCTCCCAGCCACATTGTAGCAACCAAAAGCAAACCGGAACAGACTCAGAAACGGTTAGCGCCCCATCCCGCGGAAAACCTCCAATCCTGGCCAACCTCTCCAAGCCCTCTTACCAGGCCTACAATATTATCAGCAAACCCAGCCTCACCATTGTTAACCCTCTCTCGGCGCTCGCGTTCAGCGTCCGAACTAGCAGCACGAAGCCCAAGCAACTGCCGCGTGCTATACCCCTGCAAGCGATCCGCATCCATCCTCGTCAAAAGATTACCTTGGCCGTGCCGCCGAGTCCAAGCCGCCTGCTTAACAGCCGGAGCCCAGTACTCCGCCAGAGAAGACTCGTCACGACCAAATGCGTAACACTTAGCCAGCGGAGAGTCAGACTCCGGTACAAGCGACGCATTCCAGCGCGTGTGGACGACTTCGTACCTCTTCTCCACGAAGAAAATAACAGGCCATGTGATAATCCAGAGCTGGAGAAGGACGACAACCCACCAGACGAAACTGTTCGTGCGGAGGCGGTTGATCCAATGCGGAGAGTATATTGTGATGGAGCCTTGGGCGGTGACGAGACTGAAGGCTATGGAGCCGTGGTAGTTGAGTTCGCGGATGTGGGAGGAGAGGACGTTACGCATAGCGTTGGAGTTGAAGCCCTTAACTTTGCGGTGCATAGTGAATCTAGATTTGTTTAATTGAGATTAGCAAGGGTATTTTGTACGCGAGTAGGCAGAGCATACGATTTCACAGAAGAGGGGTCACGGCAGAACCGCTCGCACCACATCCTCAGGCCTTTCGTGTCTAAAGAGCTGCTATCCTGCTCGTCGGCGTCATATCGGGCTAGGGTGGCATCGCTATCCCCCGACAGACTAATAGCAGCACGCGATTTGGGCGGCTTATATGTGGGCGAGCGGAGGATTCCTCCCCGATACGCCGGTTTGACGTCCTCATCTGTGAGGATTTCCACTTCCTTCCAGTTCGCGCCCATGTGTCCGCCCTCCCAGCCGGTCAGCATGGTCTCTGCCAGATCCAGCGCGAAGTGGAAGTCTGTGCATGTGTCGCATTCCTCTTTCTTTTTGTCCTTCCTCGCTTCGGTGTGGGTTCCATGGATGTAGAGCAGTGGGCGTGGCGGCAGCTTTATTTGCCGGCGGATGACATTGTAGAGCCCGTCGCAGTCGTTCGAGAGTGCTGGGTCGAGGGTGAGAGCGACCTTGTCGTGGGGTTTGACATTCTTGGCGCCGGGGAGAACATAGGCTGAGTCGATTAGACGGAGCGGTCGGATGCTTGTGGGAGGCTGGACAGGCTGGACAGACTGGATAGGTCGGACAGACTGGTCAGGGGCGATAATGGGTTCGGTGTCATCTGTGTATGGAGGCGGCGCGTCGTCAAATGAATGGAGTGAGTGCGACGGTGACGTGGGGGAGTCGGCCTGGTGGAGGCGGCCCATTGTTTTTTGGATATTTTGAGGGAAAAGAAAGCCAATCTCTAAGTACTAAAATAGACTAAAACGAGAAACAAAGAGAAAGCAAGCAAAGATGTGAGATGGAAGAGGGATTTTCAAGGAGGCTCTAAGACCTCGTAACTATTACCACACTGCAGCCTGCATATGTAAACATGGATGAACACTAGCTATTCTATACCCCACTTTTCACCTTATCCAACATAACACTTCATAGATCCAAATTTTGGATCCATCAGCTGGCGATCATGACACAAACCAGGACCCCGCCAGCCATAAGTTTGGGAAATGTCGTTGACAAGATCGCACTGCGTATTAGGAGAGACGGTACAGAGACCATTCGACATAATCCACGATTTGGGATTATTCAGAGCATCGTTGTGACAGTCCCTCCACTCCCAATTACCGCTTTCAGGTATAGTCCACCAACGACACGAAACAGCTGTGTCGCTGACTATGGTCTCGAGCTTACTCGCCATGCCGAATTTCATGCAATCACTGTCCTCCAAATACTTGTTGTGACCTTGGAGCAGCACGTAGCTGCCAGTGCAGCCCATTCCATCGAACATCTTCAGCGACCATCCGTTTTTTACGGTGACGACATCATTCACGGTTTGTGTTGCGGAGGCTGGGGAGTCCTTGGTTGTGGAGGGTTTGCTTGAGACTTTGCTTGTTGTAGCAGACGTGGTCTTCGTAGTACTTGCGCTTGTGGGAGCATTTCGAATTTGGCTCGCCAAGACACTGATCTTCTGGGCCACTTTCAGGAATCCGGTAGCAGTACCGATAGCAGTAGTAGGAGCAGTAGTAGGAGCGGCGGCTGACATGGACGTGGTCTCGTGTAGATATGTCAACGGTATATCTACCAAGGGTATATCTGTCGTGAAGAAATGTGGATTCTTGTTTTTTGAAGTTGTCGAGGATACGTCTTTGGCTGTCAATGCCACAGTTTTGGTTGTGGACGCAGCTGACGTAGCTTTAGCTGTTGCAGATGTGGTTTTGACAGTTGTAGCTTTACTTGCAGGTGGAGGTGGCACGGCAGCAGCGGGCGCAGATGAGCCACAGAAGTCTGGACCAGTACCACATTTACCCCTTGTAGAGCACTATATATATATGGTCAGTCTAGGCCGCGTGATCGAAATCAAATCTTGATAAAGCTTACACATTGACCCGCAGGGCATGGATTCAAAGAGGCAATATCCATCCACATCTGCGGACGTGCTGTTCCAGGCACTTGTGGACCACAGACCGCATCACCAATTGCAACTGGCATTGGGGGTTTGCCAGCGCTAAGACAAACCTGACCCCCATCCTGCAACTTATTGCACCCGTACCATGCTACGGTGTTGGTGTTCCAAGTCTCGATATCGGCCACGGTGATCTTGTACCCCTCGGCCAACTTCGCGCAGGTATCATCATGGCGGATAGTATAAACGTAGCAGTAACCACCACTGTCCGGTGGAATGGTATGTGTTCCTGCCTCGCAGCATACGGGCTTTCCGCGAGGCAGAGAGGAGCAGGCAGTATTGGGATTGAAGGAAGTGAATGATGCTGCCGAGATAGCACACCTGCGAGCCAGATCATCGCACGTATCCCCAGTTTCAACAAGAATTGAGGGACATGTGAAGGGATAGGTGTAGATGGCCCGGTCTTGGGTTGGTTTGGACTATCTTGGGTTAGAATCTGAGGGCAAGTGATGTTGGGAGTGGGAGAAGCAGGCACTGACTTCGGGTGCAGCTGCAGACGACGCAACTGTGCCATGAATCAAACCGAGACCGCATAGAGCGAGGAAGATGGCCTTTCGAAGAGAGCCCATCTTGTGTAGACTTGCCAGAGAGGATGATACTCTTTGAAGAACGACGCGTGGCTTTATATATATCTCTAAAGAACTAAACCGCGAATGTCACGCCTAGGAGCAACATCATGGAGGCAACATGCATTGATGCAGCCAGTGAATCAGATATGAAACAAAGATATTCTCTTTACAGTAGCGTGCAGGGTCTGAGAGTCTCTCAAGGGCCACTTAGGATCAGTCTTTCTCGAGGACAATATGTTGAGTAAGTTGTAAAGAACGAGCCAAAGTGCCTCCTCCGCCAGCGTCAACAAAGAAACTCGTTGCATCCGAGGGACACCCGGTACAAACGTGACCCCGAATGGCCTTTGTTCGGGTAAATCACTTTCCTCTTCGGAGTTGGGCTGGTAGATTCTCTTTGAAGAAGCGATATAATGCACCATGGTGCCAAGGGCCCTGGCCACTGGGGTAGTAGATACCAGTATCGAGACCACCAGTTTGTGGGTTTCATGACACCAAGACAAAAGAAGGACTCAAAGAAACCGACCGCCAGATGCTGCCCTTTAGAAGTCCTTCTTAAATCGACCTCAAGTTATTGTTGGCGTAGGATAGACGCCGTCGAAAAGTAGCTCTCACCTCTGGGACCAGTCCGACGCCATATCTATTGGATGACCTTGGATATCGGAGAACAGTCCGATGCTTGTTGCTAGTTAGTTTAGTGCGTGCGACCGAGTCAAAGAACAAGTATGCTGCTGTTGAAGAAACAAGATTGGTTAATGGCTTATCGGCTTTGTGCCACAATTCAAAGGTTGGCAGGGACAGGGTTACAGAAATAGCACTTGGACTTCAGCCATCCTAATTGGTAACATCGGAGAACTAGGGATACGCGAGACGGCAATATGAGAGCATGGTGGAAATATTCTCCAGAGCTATGCCAATTCAAAGGCTAACTCTTGACATATACCATGCCTGGGTACGATCCTGGGGGGAAAGATGGGAATATAGTATGGAGCACGGAGTAGTAGATCTATGTTGTATTGGACTCTCTCGATATGTACGCAGTATCATTACCTCCTAGGGATATTGGCATGAATATATGCAAGTTGCTTTTTCCGATTGGGTCTAATGACGCAGATGCATCGTGATGCAGTCTCCTTACTCCACCCGGGTGCGTCGGGAGGTTCACTATCGATGTAGTGTAACATAACTGGCAAGGAGCAACCCTAAAATTTCCATTTCGAGAGATGCGGCATGTTTGTTTTAGAGTGACGTTCTTCAGGAAGCGGTACCTCAGATGGCAGGCTTAGCTGAAGACCAGCTAGGGGTAACACATCACAATTCAAGGCTGGATATGGTCAATCTCCGCAGCACACGCGTTCATTTCTAATTGTAAACCCCCTATGCTCTCCTTACCGTCCGCTTTCGGCTTCTAATATTGATGCCCTGCATGGAAAGTGGATCACTAGGTGCCGAAGGTGCCATGGAGGGTAGGTAGGATGGCTGTCTCCCCATGCTGAATATAAATACCAATATTTGCCCGGGATAAGACCCTCTCCACCATCGAATATTGCTGGTTTTCCATGTCGAAGATGGTTCTGAAATCAACTCTATTTCTGCTGAGTGCAGGTTCTGCCTTGGCTCAGCAGACACCACTTGGTGCCTCATGCCTATCCTCGCCGGATCCCGCGGGCTGCTGCGCCAACGGAGAAATCCAGGGCGAAGAGACCGTCGGCAACGTTGTCTTCCAGTACACTTGTGGATTCGCCCCAACCCCTTCGAAGTTCACAGGTCACACCGTCGCAAACGCCTACGAATGTGCGGATCTCTGCGCAAAAGATGATAGCTGCTTTGCCGCCTCGTGGAGAAGCAGTGGCTCAAGCGCGCGTGGAAATTGTTTCTTCGCCATGGGTGAAGACTTTGAATCGAAGGAGGACAAATCTTTCATGCTTCTTGCGCGAGCCCCTGAACCTGTCCCTGATCCTCCATGTCTCACTTCAACTGAGGCAAACGCTTGTTGCACCGGGGGGCGCACTGAAGGGGAGGAACTTGTTGGTGATGTCCTTTTCAAATATACCTGTGGGTTTGTCCCAACACCCTCCAAGTTCAAAGGCCACAACGTCGCAAGTGCCTTTGAATGTGCCGAGCTCTGCGCAAACGATGAGTCCTGCTTCGCTACATCTTGGCGCACTACTGGCTCGAACGCGCGTGGAAACTGTTTCTTCGCCATGGGCGAAACCTTCGAGTCGAAGAGTGACAATAAACACATGCTGCTTGCTAGAGTCATTGATGAACCTACCCCGGATCCAAACCTCGACCCGACTGAGTGTGAGGCAGAGAAGACGCAATGCATCGATGACAAGAATCGATGCGAGGAGGAGAAAGCAGCATCCGAAGCCGTCAACCACCAGTGCGAAACCGACAAGAACCGCGCTGAGAATGCGGAGCGGGAATGTCTCCGAAACACGAACGAGATCACCGAGAAGAAGCGGCAATGCCGAGAGGAACAGCGCCAATGTCACGAAGAGAAAGCTCAACAAGCCCTTCAATGCCACGAGGACAAAGCCGAACAAGCCCTCGAAAACCAGCATTGCCAAAACCAGAACAACCAACTGACGCTGGACTTGATCAAGCAACAAGATGAGATCTCGGACCTCCAATCCACTATAACCACCCTCCAATCTACACTCGATAATCTCAACTCCACATACCTGGCCCTTTACAAGGAAACTAAGGGAGTATCGTGTCGATCTGGAGTTGTGAATGCCGGTAAGTCCCGCGGATCTAATAAACGAATTGAGCATGATAACTGACAGCATGGAAAGAACAACGCGACGATGGATGTATTCTACCGGCTGGAAACAAAAATTTCAAAATTTACTACGCCAAGTGTTAGTATTATTTATCACCGGTTCTAACCTTGCATGTACTAATTCAAGATTAGTGGACGACCCTGGGTCTTGGGATCTGGGAACACCCAAAACCCCATCCTTTGCAGCTTGTGCCCAGCTCTGTGCTCGCACCTCGCGTTGTGTGAGGTTTGCATGGGCTACATCGAACCGAGAGGGAACCTGCTGGATGAGATCTCATGGGCAGGACCGGAAGCCGACCAGATTCTCCGCCTGGAGCAGTGGGCAGTTGGTTTAATGTGTTGCGCTATGAATCTCTTTGCTGATAACCCATGCTCTAAACCTTCTTGGGTTAAATATTTCATGATGGCTTGCTTTCTATGGGTTAGTATAGCCTTCGTATAGGTCCTCCCATACTGCCATGCAAATGCAAAGGTGTTTACACTATTAGTAGGCCCAAGGAGGGCTGTGCTAGACATATTCTGGCGAGTGGAATCTAAAAGATAGTACTGAAGAGTTCATCTACCTACATTCCTACTTGAAATGTATGGACTCAATTAAAAATTGCTCGAAACGCAAAGTCCCCAGTGAACGATAGAATCTCTAGGTAACAATCAGGGAAGTGATAAAACCATCTGAACTGGGACTTTATTTATAGACCACCGTCCGCTTTTGTTTCTTTTGAGCTCGCCACTCATGTTTTGTCACTTCACTTTGCTTTCAATTTTGGTTATAAAATATATAAATATGAATCCTATCACTATATCGGTAGCCACATTTTGCCTCCATAGTGCCTTGCCTAGCAGAACAGATCTCTCCAGACGTCGCTTTTGATTTTAATAGTAACAGACCCGCCACAAGATCCTAGCATTATCCTAACAGCCCAGTGGACGCATATACTCCACTGACGATGATTATCAAGTGGGACAATAATGGATGGGAAACCCCCCGAACCCCGGGTACGGCTATCCGACGAGCTGGCATACATCGCAGCTAAGAGCGACATGTCTAACAAGACGCTCAAAGAGAGATACCCGCTAGACTTTGATGGAAACGGAAGCAACAAGAATCCTTGATGGCTCTACGGAAAGTAGCTACTCCTGTCAAACACTTGACTTTGATATGTGAGTACATGGCCCCAGCCAGTCAATTTATTACTAGCTCACAACCACAAGCCCAGCTATAACTTCCCGCTTCGAGATTCATCGACGAGACACCAGAAGAGGAACTCGCAAAAGCAAGGTGGAGGACGTTCAATGCAGATTTCTATAATCTATCGCTCGTCCCAGTGGGTTGAGAGGCATTTGGAACACCGAACTGTCCGCACCAATGCCGTCTACCAACAGTCTAACTTGGCTGTGGCATGCTGTGCTATGCCACTCGCCTTCAATATACCAACTTGACTACATTTCGGCAAACAATGGAGCTCGCCCTGAGCGACTTCTTCATGGCCCCATGGAGAGGAACTAGTGGATAGTCGCAGGCTGGTCATGGTAACATATGTTCTCTCTATAATGTGGCTCTGGAGCCTCTCCAAGTAGCTAGATGCAGCTAGTCTTAATAATTCATCGTTTTCCTATCAGACCTGCACGTACCAGATTATGTAGTCATGAAGTTTGATCCATTTATGTCGCATTCGTGATACACTTCGACATGGTGCTACCTATCCGTATGTCCTTTATGGCAAACCTCAGAGACAAAGATTGGTAGTAAGGCTTTTGGCTGTCTATCTTGGCCATTGGGAAAAGAAGCACTGTCTAGCTGTGTTTCATACCGTGTAAACACTCCTGGGCACTTAGCTACTCGGTATACCCAGGGAGATAGGCACCGTCAGCTCAGCCTAAAAAGCGTAGATATGTACTTTTATGAGCTACGTTGGGAATGCATTCGACCAATTATGCACTCAGCACTTTTTGATACACCTATGAATGGCAGTTAAATTGCAAGTCATGACTAGTTTGAAATATCCGACTCATAACGCTTACTCAAACAGAGATACGCTTCTTAAATACGTGCATACATGCATGTCTGTATACATACTTCCACGTGACAGTCGCTCTTTCTCTTTTCTCTTTTCTCTTCCCTATTCCCTCTCCCATCTTTCCTTTGTCGTGTATCACCGCGTAGACGGTCAGGCGGCTAGACGCGACGCGTCTGATTCTCAGTCAATCTGGATTCTTCGGTTTTCTTCTCTTCTCTTATTTTCGATCTTTACGCATCTATCCCTTAGCTTTATATCGTTAATCCTCTCCCTTGATCCCCACAATGGGTTCTAACCAGGATGTCTCGAGCCAGGGTATCTCCAACCATGATATCCCCAATCATGATATCCCCAACCATGATATCCCCAACCAGGATGTCTCCAACCAGGATGTCTCCAAGCAGGGTGTCTCCAACCAGGATGTCTCCAAGCAGGGTGCCTCCAAGCAGGGTGCCTCCAAGCAGGATGTCTCCATGCAGGATGTCAACATGAAGGATGTCTGCATGCAGGAAGTCACCATGAAAGATGTCTCCAAGCAGGATGTCTATCCCTCCAAGCAGGCTCCTTCTAACCGTGCTGCATGGCTTACTGCCAGATCAGCTCCCCTCATGGTCGGTGTGGCACCATTCACACCTCCGTCCGCCCATCAAATTGTCGTCAAGAATGGTGCTGTGGCTGTCAATCCCGTTGAATGGACCAAGCAGTTGATGGGCAACATCATGTTTCCTTGGATCAAGTACCCTTTTGTGCTCGGAAATGATTGTGCCGGTGAGGTTGTGCAGGTTGGAGACATGGTTAGTCGCTTCAAGGTTGGTGATCGGGTCCTTGCTCACGCCCTTTCCATGGATCCCACCGTCAACAAGTCGTCCGAAGGTGCTTTCCAAAACTACACCGTGATCAATGACAACATGGCCACAGTGATTCCCGATTGGCTCGCCTACGAAGAGGCTTGCGTTGTTCCACTTGGTCTCTCAACTGCTGCGACCGCCTTATTCCATGAAGACTATCTCTTTCTCAACCGTCCTGGTGTCCCGCTGGGCACGGGCCCAGACTGGCTTCCCGAAGTGGTTTTGGTCTGGGGTGGATCGACCAGCGTCGGTTGCAACGCCATCCAGCTCGCCGCAGCAGCTGGTTACGAGGTTATCAGCACTTGCTCTCCCAATAACTTCCAATATGTCACTAATCTTGGCGCATCTGCGGTCTTTGATTATCGCGATATCCTCACAGTCCACTCAATCATCGAACTTTGCGAGCATAAGAAGGTTGTCGGCGCTATCGCTATCGGAAACGACTCGACTGAAGCTTGCATGGCAGTTCTTGCGCAGACGAACAGTTCGAAGTTTGTGGCCCGCGCCAACTTCCCATTCCCGGAAAGAATTCCAACCACAACCTTCCAGTTATTGCGTACTATGGCAGCCTCAATGTGGTCGAACCTCAGGATTAAGATCTGGTCGAAACGCAGTGGTGTGAAAACCAAGTTCATTTCCGGAACCTCTGCGGCCCATACCGAGGTCGGCGCTATGGTTTATAACCAATTCCTGCCTGGAGCTCTTGCAACTGGAGTTTTTGTCGCCGCTCCCAAGCCGCGTGTTGTTGGGAAGGGTCTGGGCCGAATTCAGAGTGCTATGGATTGTCACATGCGGGGTGTGTCTGCTCAGAAGGTTGTTGTATCGCTTTAAATTTGTCTCGAGCTGATACCGGGCCGTCCATGGCATCGATCGTCTCGACAAGGATTTCTCTAGCGCAGCAGCTGAGGAAATCTCCGGGTGCTGTCTTATCTCTTCTGCCTGAAAGTCCACAAAAGCCTACACGCAGGTTCTACGGGATGACTAGCCGATCACTGCTATTTAGGTAATGTTACTTAGTCATGGCTAACACAATTCCAATTTCAATCTAGCCATTCAGGTGCGCTTTTGAATGTAATAATGTTGACGGTAACATTTCCACTTCGCGTTGCGATCGGCTCCTGGATCCCAGGGTGAGTTACCCCGCCGCCCTAAGCCGCCCACTAAGCGACCGCTGAGCTGTACTCCATGATTTGGCCCCAGGTTTTCATACTGTGTATGCTTTGTTCTGCGTATACATTATGGTCTTGATATCGAAACAGCTTTAGCAGGTCAACTCTAGCCTTTGTAGAGAGGCTAAGAATGCTTGATATCTTAGACCCGTGGGGCCAAGAGTGGGGGCCGGGAGTAAGCACTACAAGCACTCCAGGGCTAGCTATCTACAAGCCAGTCTGGCCCCCATTCAGCACAGCCAACCATCTGTGTACAGCCTCGTCAGCTTCTGCAGATCTCAATTGTGACTTCTTCTTTAATCAGTCAGTCAAAGTTTCTATTATCCAGATTCTCCATCTCAAACATACTTTCAATCTACCCAAAAACACTACTTTCTTTGATTACCTACAAGACCTCCCTATGGGAAAAGAGAACTTCATCCGACAAATCGAAAACTCCTTTGAGTTCAAACTCCTCGACAAAGTAGTCAAGGAAGAAGTCACAGCACAAGATGCAGTCCAAGACGTCATCAACATGACCATGAGTGCATTGTCCATTCATGGTCCAAACAAACTAGGCGGGATCGGTCTCCCAGACTACAACGTCTCTCTTGCGGTAATGGAGCTTGCTAACCGCCTGGAGCCATCCAAACAAACCAAGCTTGTCGAATTTATATCTCATCTTCAGAAGCAAGTTGCCGTTGATCCATCTACGAACGAACCGCTGAGGGTCCAGGGTGATACCCTCTGGACAGACATGCCGTCATTTGGCTACACGGAGCTTGAGACGTGGTACGAGTTTGGTGGCGATTACAAAGGTGATCCATCCTCCAATTTAAACAGTCAGAACGCTAACGCATGTAGATCCATGTGATGCAATGCTGGATTCTAAGCAACGAGACCGCTGGGCGAATCTCAACGCTTTCCTCGCGCAGCTGACTCAGGCTGCAGACATTCACTATAGACCTCCCAAGGAAGAAGTGCAATTCTGTCCCCTGGACAAATCACTACGGGCCATCTGGACCATGGCGATGGCACTTGAGAACGAGCGCCCTCCCGCGTCGCTGGAAGATACAGCGGCAATGGAGGCCGCTTGCCAGTGGTTCATCTACGCTGCGGAGCGGCTGTGGGCGAATGTGCTCAATAATCGCACGTATCCTGAGGCGGCTGGCGCTGGGCCGGGGAAGAGGTATGAAGAGGAGGGCTGGCCGGGCTATACGCGGGAGCGATGGGGAATCTGGGAGGATGGGCTGAGGGAGGCTAGGGCTGCATGCGAAGATGAGCGGATGTGGAAGCTGATTGATGATGCTTTGGCGAGTCTGAGAAGGGGGATGGTGGATGATTAGTGCCATTTAGTTCTAGTGGACATTCATTTAAATGCTCTGGATGGTTAGTTCTCTAGTATAATGATATCTATTTCTTTTCGTTTCGTACAAGTCTAGCAGGATTTGAGCCTTACGAGATAGAGCTTCGACAAGGCAGTCTTGATTGTGTGGGGCTGGGCTGAGCATCCTTTACCATTTATTTCTGCCTTGTCCTGGCCCCCACGATTAAATTCGCTTGTGCGCTGGCGAGGGGCCAAAGCCTCGTGTGTGCTGCTGTTGTTTTTATTTGGCTGATCAAGGTATTTGGCTGACCAAGGGAATGGACAAGCTCATGCCCAGCCTTCACAGAAATGCTTAATAGGAGGGAAGCAGTGGACGAGTGTGGTTTGAGCCTGGCGCTTATGTCGATCCTTACAAACATTTGATCCTCAATATGATTGATTGGCCGAATGTCGATCTTGTCTGTTGCCAACGTGGCGCAGAGGCTGCCAGATCGACAAGTGATATACCCACAAGGACGTCCTACATGGATGACCCCAAGGCTTGTTCGTCTTATTTATCGCTCCTCCTGCCTTTGCCTTACGTCTCTTGTCTATTCTCTTGAGTCAAGATAGAACGAAAGGAGTGGCATTCCTATGGAACTGACTTGCACAATGACCAACTCCCTCTCCGCCGCTACCTGCGCCATCTACGCAGCCCTCGCCATCCCAGTACTCTACCTCCTCGTCCGACACGGTCGCTACGGCTTTCTAGGATGGCTCTTCCTGTTTTTCTTTTGCGCCCTCCGCACCATCGGCGGCGCGCTGGCAGTTAACGACACCAGCGCCACCGCTAATATCATCTCCAGTGTCGGTCTTTCTCCTATCCTCCTCGCAACAGCTGGAATTCTACACGAGGCGTAAGTACGCTGCCCACAGATACGAGATCTATGCTAAACCCAGCAGTCGGCACTATCGCATCCGACCCCTCGACAAGAAGATGGAATGGGTCTCCGTCCTCGCCTACCACATGCTCGTCGTCGCAGGCGTGGCCCTAACAGCTGCCGGCTCCGCGAAACTCCAGGAACACGAGAAGCCCCTCGACAAGGCCGAGAATATTGTCAAGGCAGGCATTTCGATTCTGGCGGTCGCGTGGGGGATTTTGGCTGGCCGGACCGGGTTCTCGTTTATTGCTTCCCGGGGACGGAATTCCTCGCTGACGAGGGCGGGGACTGTCGTAAGTACTTATTCCCCGTGTGTATTCGAAATGCCATGCTAAGTCTTTGCGAACAGCTGCTTATGGCCGTCGCCTTCTCGCTCGTCTTCATCGGCATCCGAGTCTTCTACAGCCTTGCTGCGCTGTGCACGCAGAGGGCATCGCTTAATCCCGTTACGGGGTCGCTGGCTATTCGTCTGGTGCTGGGGTTCCTGCCTGAGATGATTGCCACGCTTGCGTATATTTTTGCGGGGATCAGGACGCAGGGTGCGGCGCTGTTGGCTCATGTAGAGGAGGAGACTGTTTCGGTTCCGCCAAAACCGCGTGCTCAACCTTGGGTTTAGCTGGCTTAGGATGCATGCATTCTTTATGTTCGTCTTTCGCTACATACCTAGATGATGAGAGTTTGCAATCATCAGAGTAATTATGACAGACCGTACGGATCGAAACCCACTTCAACAACCATGAGTGCTCCGGGGAGCACTATAGAAGTGGGTCCAAATAGGTCACGTGATGCTTCAAGGCCTAATATTCTGGTAAATAGGACGCTTAAGGTGGCGTCAAATGCAGCCGTTTTCGGCGCCAAATTTAGCGTCACTTAGCGCTGCGGTGTAAGAAAAGCGAGTTACATTGAATGTCAAGGCTATACTCGTAGTTAAGTGGATGAATTCTCAAGAATAACCCCCTTATGATGGAAATGTAATAAATGACACTTGATTCAAAGACACTGACCACTTGAATACTACACCTGTACACGCATACAGAACCAAGAAAAGAATATAAAAACAAGTGTCCCAAAACCGGGCAGCTATCAATACGGCGAGCTAGAAACGATTCATAATATCCAAAAAGAAAGGTGGCTCCGGCTGACCTGTCACTTCAGACATAGTACATCCTTGAACGGTTGACAGGTTGCACAACTTGTGAAACGAGTCAGAGTCCGAGTCAAGCAGCTCCAAGTAGCTCATAGCTAAATTATTCCCACCTTGCAAAACCCGCAAAGCCTTTCTCAAATCCTCCAACTTCTGCTGGTTATCCTCCGACGCGGAGAGACATGTACTCAGTTGATCGGCATGTGCCTTGAGAAAGTTTGCCGAGAGATAGAGTAACATGGGAGAAAACGCATGCGCCTGTGCAACAGTGTGAGACACAAAAGACACCGTCAATTCACGGGGAGGAAAGGGGGTGGTCTCACCTTGAAAAAGCTGGATCGGGTGAGCGGCCTCGCCAAACCTACTATCTCGTACGCGGAGTAGAGAGGACCCAGGATGATCTCATCGTCAACTTCCACCTGCAGGGCCTGCATGATGTTGTAGAACCATATCACAGCGGCATTGGCGAGCATGTTTGTGAAGAGGCGCATGGGGTCGTGGAGTTCGGGCGAGGATGGGGGTAGTGAGACCAACATCAGCCGCTGTTGTACCATTTGGTATAGCCGGGTATGGCGCTTCCAGGTATCTCCGTCGCTTGGACATGTTTTGCCACCATGCGCGGCTCGCTGGAATGCGACGCTGTGCCAGCATAGCGTGATCAGGACGATTGTCTCCGCGAAAGGGGGTAGCATTTTCTGTCCGGAGGTCTCGATCTCGTCATATAAGGAATCCATAATGACTGCCCTGCTGTGTTGGAAGTCTGACTCCGATACGGGGAGATATACGCAGAGCTGGGGTAGATATCAGTGTCGGAGGGCTTTTGTAAAAAAAAGGGAGTAATTGCTCACTGCTTCCTCGTGTAGACTTAGAGGCCACTCGTCAGAGATATTGAGGAACCGGTCTAGACAATATGCCAGCCAGTATGTTCGTCGCTTTTCCTCGGCCTCGGCCCATGCTTCGGGATGTGCCATGTTCAGGCTAACGTCATTGAGTCGATCAATTTCATGCAATTTGGCAAGTTGGATAATGCGAAAAGCGCGTCCCGCGGTTAGCCATGCTCGGCGGTAGCTCATGTAGCGGAATTCATAGTGCGTTAGAAGAAGCCATGCTTGGGCTGCCTGGAGACAGGCCGCACTGCTAGATTCAATATCTCGGTCGAGAGCCTCAACCCTGGACCGCGCACGGCTGTAGAGAGACTCCCGTATATGCTGTAAATGAGCGGATGAGGCTGCTGCAAGTGCCCACATTGCAAATTGCAAGCAGATGTGAGAGGGTGGTTTGTTGGATGTCTGTGACCAGGAGAAGTACCGGCCTTGGTGGAGCATCGGCGCGACAGGGTGTACTCTGTCGAAATATAGTTGGTCCCTTCACTACCTGTTAGATACATCCGCATTCGGAGCGTAGGCTTTGCGTACAGATCTGCCTCTATTATATCTGAGCTCTCATTATTAGGCGGGGTCATTGGTGTAATAGGCGAGGTTATTCCGGATGCCTCAATACAGTAGTCGATGTCACTAGATTCGGTCTTCGTGACATTGGGAATATAGTCTTGGGGTGGGCTGAGCATTTGGGCCATCTCTTCCGAGTGAAACCTCTCACTGCCGTCCAAGACTTCCTTAGGACCGTGATTGCCCTGACCACAATTTATGATGCTTTCCAGTGTGGCTAGAATGAAATTAGCTGGGAAGATGTATAGATAATATTTCTAACAAACCAATGCGATTCCGTAAAGCCTTAAGATGTCCTTTCTTAGGGCCTCGTGGTGAGCGAACCTGATTCACGAGGCATGCTGTGCCCGAGTCCTCGCACTGATTACATTGAGGCCGTCGCCTGTCGCATCGAAGTTTCTTTTTGCGGCATTCCTCGCAGGCCTAGGTTATCAGCGCTGAGAGTCGCTTTATGAGCTAGGTGGATATTGTCTCACCAGTCCTGGCTGCTGTCGTGAGCCCGACATATTGAAGAGTTAAACAGAGTGCTGATGTCTTGATACTACTACACCACCACGAAGAACAAGACTACCTGAGTCAATGAAACTGGAATTTGTAGCGGGTATTTATAGGCATTGACCTAGACTATTGAGTGGACTCGAGGCTGAGTCGCTCAACCGTCGGCAATTATAGATTGATTTCTTGTTTCGCCAGACACGCACCCTTGTAGAAAGCTTCTTTCGAGATCTTCCACATTTGGTAATTTGTACTTGTCGAAAGTCCACTCCTCTTCCGCGATGAAGCCCGAGCAGAACCTCCTGCGCATGGTGTGATCAGCACTGCATCCTAAATGACCCTATACCCATGACTTCCCACATCTTTCAGGTAACCAAGTGGTGCTTTGTTAAGGGTAAACGGCTAATGATCTTGATAGCTTTCAATAAACTTCCGTCCCTGTGCGGGCTGCAGCGTTATCCTTGTCATCGCGCCATTTGGGTAGTATAGATAATCTGGACGGTGGTAGGATGTACGAACCGGTTAGCCATGTTTCGGTTGTTGACCAGAGATTGAATGATCTATTGTTCTAGGTGTTGGGTCTGTTAGCCGAATTGGTTAGCTCCTCATCAAGATAGAGGTTCGGACTGTTAACATAGTGTGGCAGGTCGTTGTTTGGATACGCTAACCCGACTGGCTGTTACATATTGTTCTCAAATGCAGCACATGCAGCCCGTGGACAATGATTTGGAATTGGTATTTCAAATCACACCTACCACGCGACAGGCTGAACTGGAGGTAAGAGTTTGTTCTCGGCGTAGTGGAGCAAAGAGAATGTAGCACAAAGCAGTTGTGATAAACCACCATGTACGGGGCATTAATTGTGTCATTGGCTTGCTTCAAAGCAGCATCCTCAATCTCCGACACAAAAGTAGTATGATCTCTACGGTGTATTTTGGATTCGGTGTATCGTCCATGGTTAAATATGAGTTTGGAAAGAAGCATGATACCTTCTATGAATACAGGGCATTGATAATCCAATCATTGACTGTTAGGCAGATATAAAAGACAGTCAACACAACGAGGATCTAGGTCCATGACTAAACTACATAATCGTATCAGAAAATGGGTTAGGTTACAGACAGATCAGGTAGAACCGAACGCCCGGAAATCTCACACATTGACCTACTCCTCCGCGGCGTGACAGCTTGAATCCGATCAAAAGGGTCTCCTGTGGCAAACGATGGAACCTAGTGCATCCCCTTGTTGGCTATAAGAAGACGCAATTTGGTATTGTTGCAACCAGAAAAATCAACGCACCGTAACTTCAAGGAAAATGCTTGGATGTGACTGAACCTGGTCGAGTGATCAAAACAAGAAACAGACGTACATTGTACCCCTTTGCCCCACATTACAGATTAAGCCCCCTCTATTATTGGTTAATATTCCCCTGTGAGAGCCACGCGAGGCCGTCGCATATATTGGGGGCTACACTAACCGAATATGGTAGGTACAGTAGCGCAGCATCCATATATTATCATATCATTACTAGTTGGTAGTTTAAATTCTAACCCACAATCTGTTTAGGGGTTGAATTAACCACGAAGCAATTGCCAAGAGCTGTGGACTGCTCTACATGCATCCACTTTCGGGACCTGCGTCATCCTGCTGCCACTTCTAGGACTAGGCGGGGCTTATCTGGCTCACGGCAACTGCTCACGGCAGTAAATATTGCAAGACTCCAATGTTGATAGGCCCACTATCTCCCCCCGGCCCGAAATCAAGGTTGTGCGTATTTGGAATTGTTAAACGGCTATAGTCTTTGGACCCATGTGACCTTCCGCGGCTCTGCTCCCCATTGTGCACCTGGGCAGCCCTGGAGTGCACTGATATGATCCTTACTCATCGGTCATTATTTGAATCTCGACTAGCCAGATTCGGTTTCTGCAGGGTCACTGTCGATGTGGAGTGTCGCAATAGGGGGTTGTTTGGCCACCCCATTGCAATCCTCGAGTTCGGGCGAACGGCATATTCTAGGCGAACAAGAATTGCGTCAAATGTCACAAATACTAGGCACAGAATGCCCCGTAGCACGTGTGTGCCTCGACACAACCACGAACGAATGCAGTCGTCCCACATTTGGCCCACACGGGAACGGACTCAATTTGGTACAGCTTCTCCAAAATTTCAGTCTCTTCCTCAGGTACGAAATTTGGAGTTCGAGAACATCTTACAACAGACTGGATAAGAAGTTTAATAGCCCTCGATGATCAACGCTTCTCGCCTGTTAGCGCCGGGACGGGCCGGACTGTGGGTACTCTAAACTGGAAAGGGTTTGATGCGAAATCCGATTTCCATACCAAGCTACATGGGCTTTCCAAAACACAAGGCGAAAACGGTGACAGGAGACACAACTCATTACTTCAATAGGCTTGTCATTGCATATATATATGTATTCATTAACTAGACACATCATTCATATACTTTGTAAAATCTCTTATGCTCAACACCAATCCTCAGGCTACCGTTGAAATCCCTAAAGTCACCCCTCAGGATTCCGATACCATCTCTCCTGACTTCCTCCACTAAGTCCTTGACCTTAGGGGCGATACTCTCCGGCGCAAATCCAAAGTGCTCGTATGTCTCCTTTGAAGGAAGGCTCTTTCCGAAGCTGTTCATCGACACCGCAGCATCAGCATAGCGCTCCCACCCATTGGACGGGTACGCCTCAATCACGACAGTGGGCTTTCCAGCGCGCGACTTCAGAACCGATTGCTTGTACTCCCGCGACTGCTGCTCAAATAGCCTAGTGCAAGGGAAAGAAACGACTCGTGCTCTGATACCATGCTCGCTAAGAAGCAATTCCCTAGTCTGCATTGCGTAGCCCATCTCAGACCCGACCCCAATCAAGGTCACGTCAAAATCACCGCCCTCGGCCTCGGTGAAAACGTACGCACCCTTGAGTGTGCCCTCGCGCGAAGAGTTTTGGGGGTACTGGGTCAGGCTCTGCCGGGAGAGTGAGATAACAGTAGGCGTCTCGGTGGCCTGGATGGCGGCAATGTAGGCGCCAGCCACTTCTTCTGCGTCGCACGGGCGGATGTAAAGAACATTAGGCATGGCGCGGTAGAGAGCGGCAACGGCAATGGGTTGATGCGTAGGTCCGTTCTCACCAACGCCAATGCTGTCGTGGGTGGCGATGTGGATTTGCTGGAGGCCTTGAAGCGCGGCCATGCGCACGCCAGCAGCGGCGTACAAGTGGAAGACAAAGTAGGTACTCGTCATAGGTATAAACGTGCCTTTGTTGAAGGCAGAAAGCCCGTTGGAGATGGAGCACATGGCGTGCTCGCGGATACCGTAGTGGATGTATCGACCGCTATAGGTTCCGTTAAGGCCGCAAGCAGTTTGGAGTTCGGGCTAGTTTTGCATTAATATCCTGCTTCGAGGCCGAAAATCGAAGACTGAACATAATGTACTCACGGATTGGAAGTCGACTTTGTTTTTGTAGGCGACATTGACCGAGGGAGTAAGATCCGCTGTTCCGACCAAGAACGAATTGATATTCACTGCAAGGGCATTGGTCACGACACCAGCTGACTTTCGCGTGGCCGTTGGCGCAGTAGGCTGGTCCGCCGTGCGAGGAATGCATTTGGTCCAGTCTTCGGGCATCTTGCCCGCGACACGGAGCGCAAATTCAGCCGCCAGTACGGGGTCTTCATTCTGATAGTTCACCAGGGCGTTTTGCCAGCCCGCTTCGTGTGCCTCACCACGACCAGGGATATCACTGAAGAAGTCGTAGACGTCTTGGGGGATGTGGAAATGCTCGTCAGGGTTGAGGCTGAACCTCCTCTTGAAGTTCGCCACTTCGTCGACTCCAAGCGCAGCTCCGTGTATGTCGGCAGTGCCGGCCTTTGCAGCTCCGTAGCCAATAGTGGTGCGAATGTTGATGAAGGTGGGCTTGTCGCTCAATTTAGCGGCAAGAAGAGCGTTTGTGATTTCTGGTGTATATTAGCGGAGCTTTCACCACCGAGTTAAAGGAGCACCGAGACCTACCGGGAACGTCCGAATTTCCGTTGTATACATCTACTACGTTAAAGCCAGTAGCCCGCATCTTGGTGTTGATATCCTCGGTGTTGGCGACATCCGCAGTTCCGTCACACGTAACTGAGTTATTGTCAAAGATAACACAGAGATTGTTTAGCTTCCAGTGACCAGCGAGGGAGAGTGCCTCAAGGCCAACACCTTCCTGAAGGCAAGCATCGCCCACCATGCACCATGTCATGTTATTCACCAGCTCATGACCGGGCTTGTTGTAAGTCGCAGCAAGGTTCTTAGTGGCCATTGCAAGGCCAACGGCACTGGCGAGACCCTGGCCAAGGGGTCCAGTCGTGACCTCTATGCCCTCATTCTCAATTTCGGGGTGGCCGGGGCAGACCGAGTCGAGCTTTGCAGAGTGGTAAGACTTGAGCTGTTCGAGTGTCATGCTCTTGACGCCAACAAGATGCATAAAGAGGTACTGCCACAGGCAGGCGTGGCCTATTATGATGTCAGTCGAATTACATGTGGTTTTACTTATGTGGATACCTGGGGGCGCCCAGAAGGCATACCATTTGAAAGAACGAAGCGGTCCCGGTTGAAGTAGTTGCAATTATTTGGAGAGTACTTCATGACATACTTATACAGGGAGATACCAATCGCAGCCATACCCATTGGAGATCTGTGAGGGGTCCAGTTAGCGCGGTGAATAAGGGGATTCCTAAACAGGGTGTCGATTTACCCAGCATGGCCTTCGCCGTACTGCTGGCAGAGATCAGCGATGAAAGCTCGGAAGGCATTCATCACCCGCTCGTGCTTCTCCGTGCTCTCTAACCCGACTCTAGCAATATCCCCATTGCCGATTGCTGAGAGTGCCTTTACCGGCAGATACTGCGCAGGCTTCTCAAGGAGTTCCAGCGCAGGTGCCATATCGCAAAGTTCGGCTGACTGTGAGAGTAAAAATGAATGTTTGAGAATGGAGCTTCGTGATGAGAGGCTGTAAAATGCTAGGGGGCAAAGGTGTGCGGACTGCCAATTCTTATACTCAAGGCATCATTCCATATCCATGGCATACCCAACAATCAATCATTGTGCCAATATTGGGTCGTGGATGTTCGACATCGAGACGAAGTCATGGATCACTCGAATCCGATGGTGTCAATGAATCAATAAAGGGAAATTGAACAGAGTGGCCACTTTGCATAGACCTGTTCTTGCCGAATGGTGGTCATGGTGGTTGGGGATAATCCTTCGCTTCGAGGCCAGTGGCCCTCGCCTCGAGGACCCACCTGCAACCCTTTGTCCAGAACGACCATGAAGGATGGGGTCCTCGGGATTGGTCTGTTCGTCACGGCAGCTGGTGAACGTGCCGTCCTATGATATGCAGTATGCAGGCGATGATCCGATAAGTACGGCCATATTGCATCGGGCTGATCAATGCCGTTATACTACCGGCATCGCTTCCGGTGCTGTTCTTGTGGGTCTGTTGGCACCTGCATTAACAGTTATTAAAAGCCAAAACGTTCAGCCTGGGATTTCTTACGATCATTCTCTGGCTAATATTGCACGTGTCTGTCTTTTGATGGCTCAATTCAAGATGTTTCTTGCCCTGTATTTATTGTGCTTTCGGGCTACAATTTTATTCATGCTTTCGGTAAAGCTGGCTTGGGATATACATCATTGACACAATAATATCCATCTGCACCGATATTACTTTAAATATATGGTGTACTAGTATCAGTGCGTACATGCGTGTAGCCATCATAAGAACACATGATCGTAGAGCGGGTGGTTCTATCCGGAAACCCCGAAAATAACCCAGTTCATTCACTTCGTTTCTGCCAAAGCTCACGGGTCTAGTTGCACACGGAGAGAAAAAGAGACTTGCATTTTGAGTCAAATACAAAGAGAAGATGGGGGCAATTCAAATGTGATTGAACAGTCGAGTTTCCCCGACCCCCAAGTGGGTCAGCCCAAGGCGGGGTAATGAATTCCGGGGAATATTTTTACCAACCTTGGCAGCTTCGAGACGAAACCCACGATAGTATCCTCAATGGATGTTACCAACGCAAAAGGTTCAGAAGGCAACACCACGGGGACCCGGCGTCGCCGCGTCAGACTATCTCGGGCACGCGGATTGAGAACCAAAACAGGATGGTGAGTTGATACGCATGTGTTTGGAATGCCCACTAAGCGAACCTCAACCTCGCTTACACGCACATCAGCCTCACCTGCAGGGAGAGACGCGTGAAGTGTGACGATGGAAAGCCCACTTGCGTGCGGTGCTCCAAGTCAAATCGTATCTGTCGATACGCCCAGCTTGATGACCAGCGACATGCAAACGGACCCGGAGCCGACTATGAGTCTCCGAGGGCTCAATCCGATTCAAGGGCGGGGAGAGTTGAAGACGCATGTGCTGGGGGGAAGGATAACAACAGTCCCAGCATCCAGGAGGAACTGCATGGTTCCCAGGAGCAGCAGCCGAGTTCTGGTCCAGCACCCTACTTCCAGGCTGCCTGCCCAGCACCTGCTGAAGCCTTCGCCCCACTGCAGCATAGCGGCTCGAGTGATACGCCACTGAATGACCGTTTGGATAATGATCAGAGACTGTCCAGCATTGACTCAGGCTTCTTGGGTTCTCCACTTTCGCTTAGCCAGATACCCCTACTCAACATATCCCCCGGTGAATGGTTCGACCTAGTAGCACGGGATGCTATCAGTAACATCCAAAGGCTCAATGACGCTTCAACCGTGGACCCACGATGGAGATTTCCCGAGATTGCCCTCTCACGGAGACAGTCACCAGCCCCTGCTTGTCCTGAGGCTCACCCCGAGCAAGCCGAGAGGCACTCTGAGCAGCAGCGACTCGGTCCAGAACATCCAGATGACGGGATCGAGGCCCCTTTACTAGATCATGACCAATTGCCCCAGCCTTGGAACACGACGAGTAGGATAGAATTATCGGCACTCGACCTCAAGTTCTTTCGATACTTCATCGATGTTGTCGGGCCAATTCTAGACTTGTTTGATCCCGCTCGGCATTTCACAAATGTTGTGCCACATCTTGCACTACGGAACACAGGGCTTTTGAAGTCCATACTCGCAGTTGGGGCTAAGCATATGTCTCTTGGTCTCATGCATGGGCCGGGTGAAAGTGTATCAGGCGGCCATGCGACTCAAAATGCGAATACCCCAAACTCGCTGGCAGCAGCGACAGACCTACCGTCAGAGTCAGACCCTGCTCCAGAGCACATAGCTACACAGTATTACTACGAAACGCTTCAATATCTTTCGCAGACATTACTTCACCCGCCTTATGCGGAATCCCGTGAGATTTTGGCGACAGCCACCATGATCAGCATGTATGAGATGTTTGACGACAACGCCTCGACCAGTGGTGACTGGGAACAACACCTGCGAGGCTCATTCTGGATACAGCGGTCTCAGGACAATGATGGCGAGTCCGTTGACGGCTTGAGGCGAGCCGTGTGGTGGGCGTGGCTCCGGCAGGACATTTGGGCGGCTTTCCAAACAGGACGGCCAACCCTCACCTTTTGGCGTGCTCGGAAGAAGCTCGAGGAGCTCGACTCGGATGAGCTCGCAACAAGGATAGTCTACATCTGCGGCAAGTGCGTAGAATATGCCGCGTCGGATGGTATGTCGCCAAATAAGGACCCAAGACACAGAACGCAGCAGGGTGACCGACTTCTTCGTGCACTCAACGACTGGCATAGTGTTCTCACCGCTTCCTATCAGCCGGTCACTGTCGCCACAGATTCTGGCTCAAATACAGTGTTCCCGTCTATATGGATTCACCCGCCTAACCACGCAGGAGCTATGCAGATGTACCATTTTGCAAGAGCTACCGTGCTGCTGAACCAGCCGACGATGGGGGGACTAAATGCCTACTGTCTCCGCGAGAAACAGCTCAGTGAAAGTGTCAGGGTGGTCTGCGGCATCGCGAATGCGTGCCAAGAACATGAACCTGCAATAGCCTTTGTTAATGTTCAGGCTTTGTTTGGAGGTAATGTCTCTCCTGATTTTGTTCCTGTTGTTCCTGCTCTTGCTAAAAAAAACCCAAGTTGGTCAGTTTGTTCGGTCCCCTGAGATGCAGCGCGAGCTGCTCCGTATATTGGAGAAGATGCTGAGGATCAGCAAATTCCCCGGTAAAGGGCTTGTTTCTAAACTCCAAAAGGCCTGGCAGATATAAATTGTAACAACAAAGTTGGTGAAACAAAGACAAGGCAAGTTAATTCCATGGGAAGCTATGTATACTAGAAGGAGTTTAATTGAGCTGATCCGAACACGGACCTTTTATGGACCGAGACTAAATACAAAAGGGGCTATCATTATTGCTTCAATTGAACCTCAGTTCTCCTCACACGCGTTATCCGTAGATCATCTCTTTCATGGTTATTATGAACTCCCTCCCTTACCACGCTCCGACAATACCAGCAACCGGAATATCGATACCAGTAGTGTAAGATGCACCGTCAGAGAGCAAATAAACGTAGGCTCCGCCGAGTTCCTTGGGGTCAGCCAATCTGGGCATGCCGCCATAGTATTGCATCTTGAGGTTCCAGTCGGGCGCTTGATTCACAAAGTAGGTCATAGCAGTTTTAATAAAGCCCGGTGAGATCGAGTTGACACGAATGCCATGCTTGGCCCACTCCATAGCCAGCGTATGCATCATATTCCGCACAGCACCCTTAGTAGCTCCATAAGGAGCCGAGGGCGCTGCACGGTTAGGGCGATAAGATGTCATGGAAGCAGTGAAGACAATGGATCCCTTGATTCCCAGATCAATGAAGCGGCGGGCCACGGTAGTAGCGCAGAAGTAGGCACCAAAAACGTTGAGATTGAAAAGTTGGTCCAGCTGGGCGCGGCTGAAGTCAAGTGCCGGCTGGTGCTTTGTCATGCCGGCGTTTGCGATGAAGCCGTGGATGGCGCCTCGTGCGGAGATGACAGCATCGATTGCGGAGTTGACACTCTCTTCAGAGGTGACGTCGCAGTGGACGTAGGATAAGCGCTTTGGGTTTGCGTTTTGCAGGGCGATGAACTCCTCGCCAGGTTCGAACACGTCTAGACTGAAGACGGCTGCCGCTTCGTTGGCTAAGCAGACCTCTGCGATGGCCAGACCAATACCTCGGTTGGCACCAGTGATGGCAATGACCTTGTCCTTCAGGGTGATTCTCCAGTCGTGGTCTGGACCTGGTTGCGTGTCAAGGAAGGCAGGGACTGGTGCTGCAACTTGGGCGACAGGGGCGCCTGTGGTGTCTTGAATACTTGGAGGCATTGTTGAGGATGGGTTTGTTTGGAGTAAGAATTAGGGACGATTGAACGAGTTGATAAGCCCTTGGAATGGGAGGGCACCTTTTTAAGTCTGCCATGACTTTCTGTTCAGCTAAGCGACTCCGATATCGCCTAAATACATACCGAAGAGCTCGGTATACTAGAGTCGCGTCCACGGGTAGCCTTATTGATTATCAGGGTAGTTGAAAGCTCCTATGCTCGGACTGCAGAGGAGTGCTACCCCCGACCCACTGTCATATCCCGCGAGGATAAAGTAAGCGACCAAGGGTGTCCTTCGAAGCGAGCCCTATCCAACCAGGTCGAGACCATCGACACTCGCATCGAGGTGCGGGGATCGCCACGTGGACCTGAGCCCCAAACAGTTGAGCTGCATGCAAGGCTTGTTTGACCTTAGAAATGATCGGATCAAATATAACCAGGAAAAGAACACCAGGAAGCAGAACATTGCGGAGATAGTATTAAACTAAAAGTTGACCTGTCTTCCTTTCAGCTCTTGCCTTTGGAGTTGGTGTCTCAAGCAGGACACCTCAGAAAGGGCCTCTCGGGCGGCTCTTTCCTAATACAACTTGAACTCTCTCTCTCTCCTCTTTATTCACTTCTTTTTTCCCTACATTTAATCCCTACATTCATAGTGTCTAAGACCCTTTGAGTTGTGAGACCTTAGCTAGTATACCCATGGGTTTTGGTGAGGGCTACGCTTGTTTGCTCATTGGGAATGCGTGTGCGAAAGTACTGATCAATGCGGTATTGACTCCCCATGGGGTATATTCCCTTACACGGAATTAGACCCCTCCGAGTGGAAAGACTGGTGTTGAACGAGAGGCTCCACTTTGGCCTCGATGCGACCACACACGCCAATCGCACAAGGTTTCCCCGGCTGTGGAGAGCGGGAAGTCGCGCTTGGGAAGTCGTGGGGGTGGATTGGGAAAAATGAGCATGACTGATGAGCGAATGTCGGGATTTCCCCAGGTCCCAAAGCCCTAGCCTCGTATATCCGGGGTTGGGGGTAGAACATATACATTCCGTAAGGAGCTTCATGTCCAACCTAACATTTTATTCTTTACTCCAACCTTCAGCTCTTCCAACAAGCCATCATGGACCGCGACTTTGAGAGCCAACTGAAAGACGTCTCCTCTCATGAGATTGAGAATGTGAATATCAGCGAGTCTATCTCGTTCAGCCCAGAAGAGGAGAAGGCGTTGGTGAGGAAGATTGACCTCACCCTCCTGCCGACTATCTGGGTCATGTACCTCCTCTCCTACCTGGACAGAACTAAGTGAGTGGTGAACACGTTAGAGCTAGAGGCAGTATACTCTATCAGGGTTCTAACGGGCGTTTGTGTACAGTATCGGCAATGCAAAGATCTCTGGCATGGAAGTAGATCTCGACTTGTCATCCAACGAATATTCGATTGCCCTAGTTGTCTTCTTCGTCGGATACGTGGTTTTTGAGGTGCCCAGCAAGTACGACATTCCTATCCTTAGTACTCATGCTCAGATCATGACGGCTAACTGCCCTTTTTGTGCAGTCTGGCCCTGGGTCGATCCCGACCCTCTATTTTTCTTCCATCCATCATGATTCTCTGGGGTGCATTGACTTGTGTGATGGCTGCTATCAATGATTTCACCCATCTGGTAGTCCTTCGAGTCATCCTTGGATGTGTCGAGGCCGGCTTTGCTCCCGGTGTGATTCTTCTCCTGTCATCATGGTACAAACAAACTGAACAGTCCAAGAGATTCGGTGTGTTCATATCTGCGGCCGTCCTGTCAGGCGCCTTCGGTGGCCTGATCGCTGCTGGTATTGTCGATGGCCTTGAAGGGGTTCATGGTATTCGTGGTTGGCGGTGGCTGTTCATTATTGAAGGTGCTGCCACTGTCGGTTTTGCTATCATCTCCCTCTTCATTCTTCCTGATTTCCCCGGTACATCGCGACGTCTCTCTGAGCGCGAGAGGCAGATCGCTGTGGCACGCCTAGCTGCTCAGAATGTCACCGCTACCACCGAGGATACTGAGCACCTAAGTAACTGGGGTGCTTGTAAAGTGGCTTGCCGAGACCTTCGCACCTGGACGTTCGTGATTGGATATATGGTTCGGACCCCCCTTTTTGGCCCTAGTCTTTAACATCACTAACCAGGCCATCGTTATAGGTCATCGTTGGTTCAAGTACACTGACATACTTCTACCCTACCCTCGTGCAAGGACTTTTCGGAGACGCATCCACCAAGAAGATTAATTTATTGACTGTGCCAATCTATGGCGTGGCATTTATCGCCACCGGTGTCACATCCTACTTCAGTGACAAAGTTCCCAACTGGCGTGGCGTCATCATTGCCAGCTGGCTGACGTTTTCCCTGGTATGTTCGATTATTGTCTGTGCTGTGTACAATTTCACAGCTCGATATGTTCTTCTGGTGCTCATGGCATCCGGCCTTTGGGCCACCAACGGAGGTACATTGGCCTATGCCTCCTCTGCCTTCGGTGGGATGCACCCCCAGGCCCGAGGTGTTGCTTTGGCTATGGTGAATGCACTGGGTAATTTGGCACAGATCTACGGATCGGTACGTATCTCACCAAATATCCCCTATTCGGCAACAAGCTAACTCGGAACGCACAGTACCTGTTCCCACAAAAGGATGGCCCTAAGTATATTATGGGATTCTCTGTCATTTCGGCGATGCTAGCGGTGGGCGTGATTGACTTTTGTTTCTTGCATATTTGGTTCCGTCGCCGCCAGCGTAACCCGTGACGGTACTCTAGTGTTGGATTTTGAAAGGACATTTGATCTCGTTGATCACGAGTGCAGGAGTAATTCGTATAACAACGGCCAAACTTGCTAGAGACAAACCAGAAATCTATCCAATGTTGCACATGAGTCTGTATGTCTGTAGGAATATAGCCATGACATTCTAACCGAAGATGAATCAATCGCGTTGGCCATCAAATGACTTATTATTGAGCATGAGATACCTGCTGCTAAATTGAGGCATCAAAGGTAATCGACCTACACATGTGGACGTTAAGCGAGCAACTGGCCATTAAGCGAGGTCTTAATCTGAAAGGAAACATAGTTCCTCGTAAGAATACTGTAAAATGATCTGGTAATTGAGATATCAAGTTGTAAAATACTGTATTTACTTTGTATTTTCGGTTTCGCAGCTCGCTTAATGGCCACATCATATGCTCGCCTACGGACCACATTCGTTTATTCGATTCGATCCGACCGCGACTTAGCATACCAGAGATATTAGAATGCATCGACCATGGAATTACGAGTACATCATATGATATGTAGCAAAAGAAGATAGCAATGCAACTTCACTTAACATTTCGCCAGACCCCGGGTTATTGAGGCTTAAAAGGCCTCACTTGCCCCCATAGCTAAACCCATCTCTCAACACAATGGAAATAAAAAGGGCTGCCGTTCTGATCATCTCCGACGAAGCCTCCAAGGATCCCACTTTGGACCGAGCGGCTGGTACTCTTGCACCTATCCTGACCAAGGAGGAGAAGTGGGAACTCTCCGCAATTCGCATAGTTCCGAACAACGTTCTCCAAATCCAGCAAGCAGTTTGCGACTGGACTAGTGGCCCCAATTGGCACCATCTAGTTTTGCTCAGTGCTGCAACAGACTTGACAGTCAAAGATAATACCCCGGAGGTGAGCAAATCGTTTAGACTTTGTTGGCCACCCGGTTGTCGTGTCCTAACGACATCACTCTAGGCCATCATTCCTTTGATCCATCGACATGCCCCCGGCCTATTGTGAGTGGAGATGGTTGGATTTGTGTTGCTGGGATCATGCTGACTACGTAACCACCTTTCTAGCCATAGCATGATCGCCGAGTCTCTGGAATTTACCCCATGTAAGATGATATCAACCCTCGCATCTGAATATACAAACCCCAGCTCATTCCCGACGTCACGTCTAGTCGCGAAGGCGGAAAGACCGTTTGTTGGTGTTCGTGAGAAGACTTTGATTGTCAGTTTACCAGGTTCCTCTAAAGGAGCCCTGGAGAATCTCCAAGCCGTTATGAACCTCCTCCCTCATGTCATCCCGCAGAACCCTCGCTCCTTACATACTAGTGGCAAGAAAAAATCAAACAATGGGGCCGGAGTCATTATTGCCCAGGGTCTACCACAACCTCAACTTCAAACCCATTACCATCACCACGATGCCCATGCCCATGGCCATCCGATCCGCAAAGCAGACATATCTCCACCAGACCGTCCCCGATCCAAATCCAACAGACCCGCCATGGGCCTCAATCAGCGCTACCGCGCTTGTGCCAATACTATGCTTTCTGTAGAAGAAGCACTACGCGTGATTCGCGAGCAAACCCCTGCACCTATTGTGGTCAAAACCCCTGTCACCACTTCCATCATCGGCTCTGTCATTGCCGAAGATGTCTACGCCAGTGAGATGGTACCGGCATACCCAACCAGCCTTGTCGATGGCTACGCCATCATTGCCGAAGAAGGCAAATCCACCAGCGCCATTTTCCATGGAACTTCAATCGCCCACGCCAACATGAGCGGAGCCTTCGAGCCCCTACAACCAGGAACCATTGCTAGAATTACCGCTGGCACCTCCCTCCCTCTTAATACCAACGCTGTAGTTATGTTCGATGACACAGCATCCTCAACCCTAGACCAAGAAGAAGAAAATGTCGAGATCCTGGCCGATGATATCGTCCCAGGTGAAAATGTCCGGCAGCCCGGTAGCGACGTTGCCCTCAACTCGAAGATTCTTGCTCGTGGGGAGCTTATCTCCCCAGTCGGCGGCGAAATAGGTCTACTTGCTGCCACGGCCACGCGAACCGTCAATGTATTCAAGAAGTGCCGTGTGGGCGTCCTCAGTATCGGTGGCGATCTCGTGGAGCATTCGAATCCCTCTACCCTCGTCAGAGGCCAGATCCGCGACTCTAACCGCCCATCCCTCTTATCCTGCCTAGCCTCCTGGGGCTTTGAGGCCGTTGACCTTGGCCTCGCCCGTGAGACGGCAGCAGGCGAGCTCGGACACACCCTTTGTGACTCCCTATACGGTGTAGGCCGTGCATTTTCTGGCGTCGATGTGCTAGTAATCACTGGTAGCATGTCCCTAGGCAAGCTAGACTTCAATGCTATCGTTGAGCACACGCTAGGTGGCACCATTCACTTCGACCGGGTCTCCATGAAACCCGGCATGGCCACTACCTTCGCGACGATACCCTGCAAGGCTACCACAGCTGACGGAGCTGCCGAGAATGTCCGGCAGAAACACACCTCGAAGCTGATATTTTCTCTTCCCGGAGACCCAGCCTCGACGCTAGCCACCCTAAATCTCTTCGTCCTATCTTCCCTCCATAAACTTTCCGGCCTAGGCGAGTCCTCTCACGCTATCTCTGCCAGGCCGGGGATTGGGCCGCAGGTAGGTCTGCCTCGGGTCGCTGTCGTACTGACACACCACTTCCCCCTCGACCCCAAGCGCACTGAGTACCACCGTGCTGTTGTGACGGGCTCTCGCTCGGACGGCCGACTATATGCTACAAGCAATGGTGTTAATGCCATAGGCAGTCTTGCCAAGGCCAATGGTCTAGTTATACTCCGGCCAGGGCGGGGCGTTGGGATCAAGGGTGAAATTGTGGAGGCGCTGATGATGGGTCCTGTCTATGCCTCCGATACCCGCATTATTTGCTAAGGCTGCGGCCGACCTTCTAATGAAATGACTTGTATAGATGGAGTGTGCCTCGTTCTAGGTTCTACTCTTCTTCCAGTAAGCGTTTAGGCACTGGAAATTCAGTTCAACTGTGATGAGAGACAGGAAGGGAGAACAGGAAGGGAGAACAGGAAGGGAGAAAAGGCAATACACTGCATTGCCTGGAGGAATTGGGGGAAAGTGGGAAGGGGAGAGAAAGGGGATGTACCTACTGCAGTTCTGGAGAACTAAGGTATCGGTGGCTACCTCGGGTCAAGCTCCACCATGGGCCAAGGGAGGTGAACAACATCCCCATTGAGAGCGGAGTATGCACGTCTAGCCGTATGAGGAAGAATATTTCGCCAAGTCTATCTTTCCATAGCGATTGAGCGCTAGTCTGAATGAGCTGGAGGCAGGTTCCAGCTTGGGTTCCAGTTCGGGAGATTCTCGAAAAAAAGTTCCGATCTGATTATATCATTCCCATCATTATCACCTCTACAGGGCTACATTCTCTGTTAAGGCCCATCATTTTCATATGTCTTTCTTAGGGTCGTGTTAGGATTACGGATTCAGGGAATTTAGGGTTTCTAGTTTCCATTCAACGTTCCAACCTTGGAATTTGGAACCTTCCAAGGTTGTTGCAATGATTATGTAAGCGGATATTCGGACCTTTTTTGAAGTATCCCCGAGCTGTGCCCGACGACACCATCTTGATCTCCTCCGAGAACTCGTCCTATAGATTATTAACTCCACGTAAGCTGTTTGCAATTCTTGAACCTTATAAACTGTAGCCAAATGCGTGTAGGTGGTTTCAGGGGAGTTTTTGTAAGCCATGTGTAATCATTATCAATCAACATTCATACGCCGCCAACTTTGCAACGCGCCCTTCATGTAGATTTGGTATAAAATATATTTATAAATGCTTTCTTCCCTTCGTCAAAGGCATCAAATCCCATACACCCAAAGATCCTTCAATTGGCTTTCATCATTATCGCTTCAGTGCCAAAATGTCACGACAAATCAAGAATGTCGTTCTCGCAGGGGTAAGCTTAGGCTTCTAATGCTAGGGACTCTTGAGGAAACAATGATATTAACTGATGATATCAGGCTACGGGAGCCCTTGGATCGCATATTCTTACAGGATTAGTGAGTCATGGCGGCTTCAATCTCACTATCCTGACTCGCAACGCTGCTGGTACTTTACCAGTAGGAGCCACTGCCAAAGTAGTAGATTTTAGCTCTGTTACTGCACTGGCTGCTGCACTTCAGGGGCAAGACGCTGTCGTCGACGCTATTTCAAGTCCAGATCCTAGCGTGTCCATGCGACTGATTGATGCTGCGGTTACTGCGGGTGTCTATCGCTACATCGCTCCTGAGTTCAGTGGTGATCCCAAGAACGACAAGGGACGGGCGCTTCCCGTCTTTGGAGGCAAGAAACAGATATACGAGCATCTACAGAAGGTCGCAAGTGAAGATAGGATTACATGGACCGCTATTTCAAATGGTGCATTCCTGGACTGGTGCCTGCGAACGGGCTTTGTGAACATCGACTTATTCAACAAGAAGGTTGCACTTATGAACGATGGCAGCCATGTCTTCCCTTGGACCACCCTCCCAGCAGTTGGCACAGCAGTTTGCAATGCCCTTACCCAGGCCGAGAAAACAAAAAATCAGACGTTATTCATCTACAGCGTTCAAAAAAGCCAAAAGGACATCCTGGCCATTGCGAAGGATGCCCTTGGCGCTGAAAACTGGGAGACACAGAGCCAGGATATGGAGGCTGCTTTAGAAGAGGCTATGATTGCAGTCAAGTCCGGAGACTACAGTTGGAAAGTCATGGGAGACTTGATCCGCTACTCAATCTCAACTCCAGGGTATAGTGGGCGCCTAGAACAGGACAACAATGACCTTCTAGGCGTCCGACCTATGAGCGATGAACAGGTGAAGACATTGATCCAGCAAATTTTCGATGAGCTGAAGACTGCTAAGAAGTAAAATACCCATCAGTCGTGAGGGAGCTGGCAAGCGTCTGTCAATATTTGGTTGTCTTGCTTGCCCTTTTCGGCAGATCTAAATGGAGAAATGTCGACGATGATGATGATGCAGTAACTTGTGGTTACTCCTGATTACTCGTTGAGTTCCTCCACATCTCCATGTCCACTGGATTCAATCCTGGATTTTGTATCAGACTTGGACCATATTACTCCGGGCATTACATCATTCAATGGCTATTTCAATCAACCTGTTGATGCCTTGCTTGTCAGCCTCCATCTAGCTATATTACCTAATTTCTGCTTGTTCGTAACTAGAGAATCAATCCTTCTTTTCTCTCTCTCTCTCTCTCTCTCTCTGCTCCCTAGCCTAGGAGTCACATCCACTGTCCTTTATTCCTCAAGCAATGAAAATCGAATCTCGATGTGTCCCCCTTGACCGACTATCTATTATAGGCATATTATCCATTCTGTTCTAACTTGCTCAGCCAGGATCCAAAGCATCGCTGTGGCCCACGCTCCTCTATTTGTACTGAGCAGTATTAGAGAGAAAGACAGGTATCATGTAAGTGTTCTGCCTGAAAAGGGGCACATAAGTGCTTCGGATGGTAAGGTAACTCGACGATGAGACACAACTAGACTATCTCAATGACTTTGCCATGGAGTTGTGCACTGTCCTATGCCCTCTATCGGGCCGCCATACACGTCTAATGGGCTTCTTGAAACCTATGTCGTCTGTCCTCCCGATAAAGTTGAGGACTTCAATATGGGAACGGACAAGACCTTATACGAGAGCCAGGAGTTGATAATGAAACGTGATACCATTAGACTTAACAGTTTCCGTAACTCGAAGCTCGCATGCTGGTACTGCCTTGAACTAAAGTATCTATCGACCGAGTGCTAGATCACGGTGAGGGTATCGGCCATACAGCTGAATAGTTTCCACGTGCTCTCCAACGATTTCCCGAAGAGCCTTTTCCCAAAGCTCAAAGGCATGTTCTCGTCTTATGAGGCCAGTGCGACATTGCACGGTCATGTCGTTTTTCGATTCCAAAGACTTCCCCATGAGGTCCCGGCTATCACGGAACATCTTATCGTGCTCTTGGAGAACTATGTTCAGGACACCCAAGCTCTCTGAGTGCTCAAGCGGAAGATAGAACCACAGTCGATATGCGTGCCTATATCGAACCTCAGGTTTCTCTGGGATTCGGGCCGTAATAGCCTGCATGGCGACTTCGAGCGCTAGGGGATCGAAAAAGCGGTAAGCAACCTGCGCTTTTCGGCCGCGGTTGCAATTCCGAGGGAGCTGGTCAAGAAGGATAATCAGGCTGACCCACTCCAGCGGACTTTCCACCTGTGCGGCATCAACAATGTCTCTAGCAGTTGCATTGCTTGAATGTATAACCTCGATCGCGCTTCCAAACTTTGCACTGATCCCGGGAGTTTACATTAGTAACTTGGCTTCAGTGAAACAGGATTTGCCTCACATGCACTCCCGGTCAAAGCTGTCATCCTGAGAAAACCAAACGAGTGCTTCTTTCACCTCGGGGACAATCAAATGGTCGTCGTCGTCGATGTGGCGAAACCAAAATTGACACACTTCTTTCAGAAGAGCGGGATTCAAGACTTGATGCAGCAGACCATGTGCTTGGGTCATTGTGAGAGAACTCCAACAAGAAATGTAACCTAATAACGAGCCAAATCAATATGAAGCGGTAATGAGTGATTGGGTTCAGATCGTTCTGCGTGACTTTTGAAAGTAGGATCTAAATGGGAGGAGACATTTATAAGCCCAGCGCGCCGTACTTTGACAATTGAGAATGCCCAGGTGCAGCCGTCGGCTTATCAATACTTTAATAATATAACTATGCCAAGTTGTGAAAATATATCCCAGGACTGGAACCCGACGATCCTTCCTGCAGACCTCTACCATTTCCACCACTGAAGGCTCCAGGACCGCGGACTTACGGATCTATCGGCTGGTATTACTTCCTTCGCCCACAGACGGTGGACCTGCCTACAGATACAGATTTCTACCCTTTCAGACTCAACTGTCTCGTGTCCGAACAAGGCCCTATTCTCTCTCCACCCACAACATCCACTTTCGCCTCGCATCCCTCTATCACTGTTCGCGCTTGCCCTCTCATGAGTTGAGTGGGGTTTACCGAAGCAGGATGCTAACCGCGAGCGTGACGAAACTGACCCTAGGAGAAGAGCTCTACGCTGAAAGTGCGGAAGTATATTTCCATAATAGTGGCGCTGCTATTTTAGACTTTATTTGTCGGCGCACTCACTCCCACCCTAAAAAAGGAGTCCGCCATTGGGACGAAACCTGGTTTTGCGTCCTCCATGGTGCGGAATTGCCCTGAACTACCGTGTTAGCGGAAGAATTAATGATTGACAACGTGACTCGAGTGGCTCAGTGTCTGTTGAGTCGGCTAGAAATTTCTCTCTAAGGCACTCTCTTGAAACAACACGTCTCCTCCCCAGATATCCTACTATGGTTCAAATAGTACAGTGTGTAACAGTTTAAGAACGTGAACCGGGCTGAGAAAATTGAATTTTATTTGAGAGGAACTAGTTTTAAGTCCAAAACTTCCACGCTTCCCTCAGGCAGAGCACCACGATCCACGATATTGTCGTGATCAACTGTTGTGACATACGGCCTCTATGTTATTTCCCGCCGCATTATCACAAATGCGCCGTAGTAATTGGGATGGTAAGATGTTTGCAAACCTGGTCTACCGTTTTCCTTGCCACCGGCACTGAGGGCCTCGTGATGAAAAGCATCAACGCTTTCGCGATCTTGTCAACGTCAGTAAAAGCAATTATCTAGATACTACCATGGGGTGATTAAGCCAAAGTTACTAGATGCGCGAAAAGCAAGATGTGCGCGACACGTGGACTAGGGTCGTTTGTACCAACGACCCAAAAATCGGCAGGGGGAACGTTTCCATTGTCGAGTGTCGACCCAAGTGCCACAACCGTCTCAGATAACTCGCGTCGAAACCTCGTATCCAAGTGGCTCAAGGGCGGCTAGGTAAAGTCTCAGGCATTCCTGGAATTTGTCCTGGGGTACATGCAGACTAATGTGATCCAGACCCATGTTGTAGTTGAAGTGCAGTTCTTCAGTGGCTTCGATCTTGGGAACTTAGATTTATAAGGCGAAGGTAATCGAGAAATAGGATTTGAATGAGTAAATTGAGGCTTAGTCAAATGGATCTGGATGCTTGGCGGAATATTCTTCTCCTTCTAGATAGTCAACGGTCCATTAACCACCAGCCCATCATACAAAGGTATTTCGTCGAGACAGGTCCAAAAGATTGATAGTTTATTTGATGAAGTCGCAAATAGCTCACGGGAGATGAATTATTGGGATGTTCATCAACGTCAGTGGCTTTGCGTTTTTGTAGGTGGCATTGGTGTCCCTATCCGCTTTAGGAAATATATTTCGCCAAGGATGCCGAAATACTTAATGTTTCTGATTGGGCAATTGGCCGCGCTGGGACCCGCAGCTGCAAACTCTATCCATGGGTATGATGCAAGTTTGCTTAGTATGGGGCAGAGAGACTACCTGGGCATTTCTTGTCTGCCAACACAAAACATGATCCATTACTGCGTGCTTAATTGGGGTCTTTCTTATTTGCGTAAATGAAGGTCAAGCAACGTAACGTGTGTCAGACTTGCAGGTCGCAGAAACTTGGTGTATGTTGGTACTGTACCTCGATCTACGGTTAACAACTCACATCCCTTCAGTGTGACGGAAAACAACCTAAATGTGGCCAATGCAATATCAGAGGCCGACAGTGCGACTGGAATTCGACGCCGTGGACTTTCGTAACACAGAGTACCCATGCATCCCGATCTCGCAGAAAGAATGACAGAGACGACGCCACGAAGCAGCGACTCGGTTTGCACCTGCCACGCACCCATCTTCAAAGGCATGTTCGGATACCAGCCAACACCACAGCAGGAACTTGGGCTCCGGCGACAAGACCATTGCGTGACGATATGATTGAGTCCATTCTGGACGCTTTCGTTCCGCGGCAGAGGCTGCCCTGCGTCTTCCAAGACCCAAAGGAGGTACCAAGAATATGCGGTGCATGGGTGGGTGTCCTTGACAAACTATCGCTGAATTTTCAGTCTCGTTATGGTCGAGTCTTGTCCCTCTGTATGGCGGCGTTGTCTTCGAGTGTTCGGGTAGAGCCTTACACGGCGACGATTGGAACATATAGCGCCGCGATCGACGCTCTCAGAACGGACATCACCCTTCCAGAAAATCTTTCAGATCCAGAAGTTGTAGCTGCAATTATGTGTCTGACCTCAGCAGAGGTATTCTATCACCTTCAAGATCTTGAAAATGTCATACTAACGATCCGGCTACAGCTTTTTCTTCCTGATTCTCGTTTTGGTCTCACGATGCATGTCAACGGTGTCGCCCAATTCTTCCAACAGAACGGCCCGGGGCGATTTGAGTCGGGAGTGCTGCACGAACTATTCGCTGGCTTCCGACCTCTATTTGTGAGTATAAATCACGGAGTTGCGTGTACCTACCCTTCTGATTGGCTGGTAGATGTTGCAAGCTTTTCAATCCCGAACAGCGACATTCATCTCTTTGGACGAATGGATTCAAATCCCATTCAGTAATCACAATCCTTCTCTTATGCAAATCCTACTTAGCCATACTGCCTGTATTCCGTCACTTCTACAGCAAACTGACACGCTGCTTGCATCCTACCGCGACTCCAACCTCGATCAAGCAACTGCACTGTGTAATAGTTACTTGGAACTTTCTTCCTTTATGAGGAAATGGGAGAAATCGTTACAGTTTCATTACCCAGACAGCATCTGGGATCTTTCTTCACCTTCGAATTTCGTCCCATCCTTACCTCCCGGACGCAGCATATGGTTCTCTGATATTACCATGGCCAACGTATACACGCATTTGTGGACTTTTCGTATCATCTGTGCCATCGAGTTTGACCGCCTACTTACGCTATGCCC